CCCCCCCCCCCCACGGCCCCCTCTAGTTTATGTTTATTGTTTAATGTTTAAGAATCTTATTATTTTGTATGTTTTATGATATTGTTGAATTTTAAATTTCGCACGGTTTTTTTAGTTATCAGAGAAGATTTTTGCAGAAGTGATTTATGTAAATTTGTAATTTGTTAAAGCATTAAAATGTCAAAATTATTTCAGATAATTTATTCTGGTACTTTATTTTCAGAAAACAGCCCCTGTTTTAGGTTAATTTTAGCAATCCAGGGGGAGGGGGCTCTAATTATTACAAAAAGAAATTTGCACTTCGACCACAGTTTTAAGCTTCCCCTGAACTAAATCCTGAATACGCCTCTGCTCTAGGCTGATGTTTTCAGCTGATGGTGGGAAATCTCTAGATTATGCTGTCATTATCTGGGGTTATACATTTGCTATACAGAAGGAAGTTATTCATCATAGATAATATAGATATACAGGGTTACCCAACAAGGATGAGACTTCAGAGACGACAGTACGGAATTTATAGTATAATTTTTCTTATATTCATGGTTCCTTACAATTATAAACTTCTTCCTTTTCTTTGCCGACTCATTAAATAAGTCGTTTAAAGACCACATTCATGACAGGACTTAATTCAAAGAGTTTCAAGTCGTCTTTACAGTCTCATCCTTTGTGGGTAATCCGGTATTTTATAAAATGAATTTATATTAATTTGAATCTGAAAGTCAAAAATTTAATGAAAAATAAACCTTGCAGATAACTTACTTTGCCAAATCTTTGCCCGAGTTTGTATCCTGCTCAATTGAGGTAATTTAATATTTTTTAAAGGAACTATATACATAATTTTATGTGGAACCTTTTAATCTTTCGACAGATGAATATTAAGGATTACACTGATTTATCTAGAGCAACTCTTGTGATTGTTGAACACTTGCAAGCTGTTTTATATTTAAGATAAATTAACAGAAAATAGATATTTTCATTTAAATCTATTTGCTTAGGATCAAAAGAACTTGCTTTACCAGAACTCTGATCCTATCTTTAATATCAAGTCAGCCATGTTTTTTAACTCAGGTAAGTTGTACGTTTCTAGGGGAAAGATTGATAAATACTTTTCCCATGTTTACTAGCAATAATTTCTAAATACTTTATTCTAATTGTTTACAATAAGCATTGAGCAATAATTATTTAAAGAATTTATTGTAAACCTATTCTTCTGTAAGGCAAAAGTAAGGTACAGGACGGTAAAAAGACCAGTCTATGTTGTAAAAAATTCTAAAATAGCCAATAACTTTTCTTTGATTTAAGAGCAACATATCTAAAAACTACAATTTCGAAAAGCCCTTGAAAATGGATTTAAGAACATGTATCACATCTTAATATTTGTCAAAAACAAAAAAGGGTGTTTTTGACATTTGTTAGAGCTTTTTATTGACATTTTTTCCAACATCCCTAGCACCCAAACTATTAAAGTTAGCGGACTAATTATCATGCAATGAGCTGGCTTTGAAAATATCGGCTAAGAAATTGCAATTCAACCCTCCCCCCTCCCCCCCCCGTCATAAGGTTAATACATTTTTAGAAAGATTTGATAAACATTTCAAATCATGTTGACATTTAAATAGTTTTGTTTTAAGGTTCGGACTCGTTTACAGATCAAATGAATAAGTTTTGTGTGTTTAATTTTGAAAAGCTTTCTGACAAATTTAACACGGTGGTGATGCAACCAATAGAATGGAATCAACTCTTCAAGTCTCCATGGGCAACAAATCTAGAGGTAGGAACCTTGAAAACAAATCTAGAGGTAGGTCTCTTTAAAACAAATCTAGAGGTAAGAACCTTTAAAACAAATCTAGAGGTAGGAACCTTTAAAACAAATCTAGAGGTAGGAACCTTTAAAACAAATCTAGAGGTAGGAACCTTTAGAACAAATCTAGAGGTAGGAACCTTTAAAACAAATCTAGAGGTAGGTCCCTTTAAAATAAATCTAGAGGTAGGAACCTTTGAAATAAATCTAGAGGTAGGTCCCTTTAGAATAAATTTCTATCAAAATAAGAACTTTTTAATTTTTTTTTAAATACTGGTATACCAAGACTTTAGACAGCTTTGAGAAATTTATAATTGCATTTTTTAAGACTCTATTTTAAAATGATTTTTTTGTTTTTTACAAGTTTGTCTTCATCGTGAAGAAAATATGATGAGGAATTGAGTCTTTGCCACAAACTCTGATATTTGTAGAATTTTTAGATATTTCAAACTCATGAATTCTGTTATGAAATTATCTAAGTTTGGAATATCAGAGGTTCACATTATAAAGCTGCAAAGGTATAGGTATTAGAAAATTTGAGTTGTGGCATCGGATTTTTTTATTTTTACTGCGTTTGTTCCGCATGAAAAAAAAAGATGTTAGTCTACTAACCAATGCTGAACTTAATCAGAAATATGCTAATATACTGAACAATGTTGAACATAAGCCTTACTATCCATGTTCAGGATGAACAGAAATATGTTAATCTACTGAAAAATACTAAACTTAATCCTTCTTATCTATGATCAGCATGAACAGAAATATGTTAATATACTGAACAATACTAAACTTAATCCTTCTTATCTATGTTCAGCATGAACAGAAATATGTTAATCTACTGAACAATACTAAACTTAATCCTTCTTATCTATGTTCAGCATGAACAGAAATATGCTAATCTACTGAATAATACTAAACTTAATCCTTCTTATCTATGTTCAGCATGAAGAGAAATATGTTAATCTACTAAATAATACTAAACTTAATCCTTCTTATCTATGTTCAGCATGAACAGAAATACGTTAATCTGCTGAATAATACTAAACTTAATCCTTCTTATCTTTGTTCAGCATGAACAGTAATATTTTAATCTGCTGAACCATGCAGCTGAACTTAATTCTTTCTATCTGTGTTCAGCATGAACAGAAATATGTTAACCTGCTGAACCATGCAGCTGAACTAAACCTTCAGCATGACTCTGGATGTCTTATGCAGGTAATTAAGCTAATCATTTGACGTCAAATTAACCCTTAAAATACGGGTTTTAAATGGACTGTAGCGTAATGTTAATTAACCCTCCATGCAAAAATTGCCAGATTCACAACAGTACCCATGAAACCTTCATATGATCAAAAATGTAAACGATATTTTTGTTTTTCTTAATTTATGCAAAAAAAATTTAAATTATAAATCATAAAATTGTCAAAAATCCTCTATATTTACAGACCACTGTTTAGGTCTGTAACTCAATTAATTAGCAAGTTATGAGTAATTTTAGATATTCTAAAATCACAAACCAGCCTTCCCAACCTTCTTAAATATTTAAAAGAACGCAAAGAAGTTTTAAAGTGATAAAAGGTTGAAAATTGGTGCAGTGTATACAGGGAAAGCCAAAATATAAAGACGACTTTTAGACTCAAGTTATGATTTTTAATGGTCCAATGCACATGAGATACAGCAATTGTGTAGTGTGCCCATACCATTTAACTTTATAATTGATTAGTAAAACTAATAGATGACTTTTTAACAACATCATTATATTGCTTGAATGTCGTTTTCCTATTCCACAGTATTCTGGTTTTCACTGTAATATATGTCAAAGAAATCTAAAGTAGGAAGTTTCTTGTTAGCTTTAATATGAACCTATAATATGCATTGCAATCAGATTTCATTGTAATTTCAACCTTATATTTGTAAATAATGATATTGTTTAGAAATTGTATGTCTTTTCAATTCGTGTTCCATTTTGTACCGTTTAATAAAATCAGTTTTCTTTTATAAAAAAAAATTGGCCCTAAACTTGTTTTCTTTAATGTTTATGTTATATATCCATGGTATCAAACTCTGGTGTGTGTAGGTGATTGCTCTGTTTGCAATTGATGGAGAACATTATCTCGAAAATCAAGAACAGGGATTAAAATTCTTCTTGAAACAGAAAAATTCAAGAAATTCTGTCGACTATACTATATTTAAAGGGTCTGAGGACCTAATTTCAAGTAACCGCGTGTTCGATTCACAACAGTATTCTTTAAATCTTTGACTGATCAAGTATGACTGACTCATCCTTTACCCTTGAAAGTTTTTTATTAATTTAAGCATTATGAATATTTATTTATCCGAAGACACGGAAAATAAATATTTTCATCTAAATTTTTGAAAACAATCGAATTCGAGAAATAAATAAATGTTCCTGCTGCGTAAACTTCTATTTTATCAATCAGAACTCCATTTTAGAGATAAACAAATGGAGCTCTCTTCTGTCGATTTTTATTCAAAGGTTTAGAGGATACAGTTATAAATCTGACATTTCCCTCTGTGCATGAAGGGTCACTTGAAATTACATAAACAGTCCCTTTAAGTTAACTTTCCACGAATTTATTGGCGTAAATCATTTCCAAAAAGTTGCTGGCAAACATCTTACAGGGTGTCCCAGTAAATATGGGAATCAAGTGAAGACTTCTATAATTATATCGTCTTTGTTTCTTGTGGTCTTCTTACGTGAACACAATTTCAGTAGTATACTAGTTGAGACAGTTAGAGTACAAAATTTATAGTCGTGAGAATTCCAAATTGCGGTTTACAATGTTTGTACCTTCAAAATTGACAGAGATATTCCAATTTTCTGAAGAAAAAAACCTAAATCTATGAAATGTTATATATCTTTGTCAATTTTGAAAAGACACCACAGACACGGTCTTAAATTGATATACTTTATATATATATATATTTAACAACCGTCGGAAATCAAAGACGATTTTTAAGTCATCTTTAGATTCCCATGTTTATTGGGACGCAATTGACCAAGTTTTCTTCAAAAAAATTATTTGAGAGGAATTTGTTTCCTGTGCAGATCTCCAGAATACAAGAGAGTTATGTTAATCTTCTTTATAGGTAAATAAAAGATTTTATTAAAATGCTGCAAACTCTTTAACCCTTTGTCTTAGAAATAATGAGGAAGATATCGTCGCCTGACTTTTAAAAGAGGGTAATACTGTCAATTTCCAACTTAAATTGTGTTGCGTAATTTCACAAATTGCCTTTTTTAGGGAACACACAATTGAAAATTATTGACATTCAGATAAACAAGCAAATCTTCTTTTGTCCTGATGCAAGAATTTGTGAGTACCGTTGTGAATCAAACATGCAACTCTTTTAAATAGATGATCAGTTTATTTCGCTGATAGTAAGAGTTTTTATCAAGTCTTTTGATAACGCTTTTTTATTCCAAAAAATCAAAATAACGTTAAGATTTTTTATGATTTTTTCTCTTCATAGAAAAATCAAATTGGCAATTTTAGAAAAGACTAAAAGGATATATTGTCTATTTTACATGACGAAAAATTGAATAATCATTGAAAATAAACTTTAGATATTTGGTGCATAAAGAAGGCAGTAAAAGAGCTGAAGAATTGCATGCAAAATTCATGCAAATGCTTCACTATCTAAGGTGATTAAAATCAAAAACTGAGGAAAAAAGAAAATGATATTTAAGTAACATTGTTGTTAAAACGCAAAAAATTCTACAAGTAGCTTGAATATCAACTTATTAATTAAATGTGTCTGTTTACACTGCACAGTTGCTTTTGATCATGTTTATTGGTTTATTCAAGTAGTCCAGTCTAGTAGTCTTCTTAATGTTCAAATGTTTATGGGTCCCACGGTATGTTATGTTTTTATATAAATAGATGATTTTTCAGAGAAATGGCTGACATTATGAAACATCAAACACTGAAATGTTAATTGCAATATTTCTTAAACAATAAATTTATAAATATTCATTTTCTTATAAAAAGAATTATATTAGTTGTTATCTTTAATTGATTATTTACAGAGTTCAGAGGTTCTGTTAATTTATAAACAAAAATCTGTAAATAGAGATAACTTATAGATTAAACTAAAAAGTATAGAGTTTTGTTTGTTCAACGCACATTATGTTTAATTTCATATTTGAATTATTTAAGTCTTACTTCTGAGATTTATGCAAAGAGAATAGAATATATATATTAGAGGGGAATTTAGAGAATCCTTCGGTATGAATTTTTTCAGTCCCTTTCAGCCTGAAAGGGAGTTCAAAGTGTACAAATCATGTAAATGTTTACAAATTATATGCAGTAGAGTACATTAATACAGTATGTTCCCTAGACTATCCATTTCAATTTCGAATTTTTTAAAGCTGTTAAATAAACTTCATAATGAATTAGGTGAATAAAAAACATCATTTGATTTATAGTTATAACGGAAAATCATCGTTTGTAAAGTGAAAGGCATAGAGTCTATGTGAAATGATCATTGGTCAATTATGACACCAGCCTATTTCATAATTTGGTTTTCTTTTAATATTAATTTTAGATTTTCTATAAAATGATGTTCCAGGGCCCAAAAGGTTATATAGCACAAATATGTGAAGTACACCTGCAGTATGGAAACAGTATAACAAAATGGCCGTTTAACACTTTTTTCTAGTAAATTCCTCTTTAATCTATATTCTATTTTCTTTGTATTTATGTTTAAGGAAGTACGTAAGTATAAGTAATGATCTATTAAAGATATAAAACAAAAACATACAAAATTAAGTAGAAGAAAATATTTTAAACCTTCAAAAATAGAGGTTGAGGGAATATTTTGCCCAAATTCTAAAAATAAAGGAAAAGGATAGAAAAGGAAAGGAAAAGAAAAGTTACATATTTATTGTTTACATTATATCTAATATAACCGGTGGTGGATTGTTAGTATTTTTCAACGATTAACTAACAACTTTTAGAAATAAAAATTATAGATTTATTTGCAACTAGGCTTTTGTGGCGCTTCGCGCCCATTATCTATTTCAATTGTGTACATGTTCTTTTTGTAAACATACTAAAATTCGCGGATATAAAATAATAAACTTTTAAACACAAATTTTTAAATTTCTATCATTCATAAACTTTCCCTGGGGTCACGTGAGGTACCTCAAAATAATTGGGCCCGATCAGTTAAAAGAAATAAAATAAGCTTTTTGGGTTGTGAAAAAGATTATAGGTTCTAGACAAAACGGGTATTTTTAAGCATCTTTTTAATTTACGCCGATTTTTTGTTTTTGTTATATTTTTTACTCTTTTTAAGGTTTTTAGTCTTTTCTTTGTAAAATATTCTTTGATTTCTTCGATTCTTTTGCAAACTAGCATACCAATAGCATAGGACATTTGTAACGGAATTGAGTCTTTGTTACAAACTCTGATTTTCTAATCCCTATATCTTTGAAAGCCGATGGCGTAGATCTTAGATACTCCAAACTATGAAACATTAGGCTGCAAAGATAAAGGAATTCTAACATTTGATTTAATTCCTTCTATCATTCATCTCTAAAACCTTGCCCTGAATGTTAGCTGGGAATGTGAGACTTTTAAAGGTTACAAATTAAAAAAATACCGAAAATGTATTACATGTTATATATATGGGAGTTGATTGACGGTTTCACGAACGTTTATTTAGATGATTTTAGAGTTTAGTGATATCTACTAAAAAGCTAGAATTCGTAGACTTTTAATATGCTAGAATTTAGAATTTGTTTCACACTTCAGTGTTCTTATTGATAATTGAGGAGAATTACAGGCAGATCATTCACTTTCACTATCATAAAATAAACTCGATGGCAGACATAATTATATTATAACTTTTGAAATCAGGTATTAATTACTATATAGATATATATATATATCACTGTGATTTAAATGTCTCAAATTTTGCCAATCACTCCTTGAAACCCGTAATTAGTAAATCATTATCATTATCATCTATCCAAACCTAATAGATTAAGACTAAGAAAAAACAGGAAGCAAGATCAGCCCGCGTAAAATAAGTGTTCACTGTGTTGGGGTTACCAACTTACCCATCGTCAAGTTTTTAAGACAACGGCGAAGGTTGGGTTACATAACTTTTTACCAATCTTGAGCAAAATATATTAGTAGAGAGACCTCAATAGCAAACTGGAAGTAGGTTTAATAATATATATATCGTTTTATCATGTATGCGTGAAAAAACTTCTTGAAAATCAAAGCTATAGTGCATGAAAAGGCTACAGAAAAGCATGAGTGAGTTACAGCGATAAAATCAAAACCCAAGGCGTTGCGACACTTCAAAGTAGACCCTGTCTTAAAAAATGATGAGACTTTTTAAAAGCAGGGTGAATCTATTTTATATGTTAATTATAAACAAACGATCTTGAACTTGTCAATTCCCGTTTCTTTGGACATCCGAGCTATGTACAGCTTTTTTATGAGGAAACAGTCCCAAGATACTGGTGGGGACAGACTAAACAGTCCCAAGATACTGGCGGGGACAGACTAAACAGTCCCAAGATACTAGTGGGGACAGACTAAACAGTCCCAAGATACTAGTGGGGACAGACTAAACAGTCCCAAGATACAAGTGGGGACAGACTAAACAGTCCCAAGATACTAGCGGGGACAGAATAAACAGTCCCAAGATACTAGTGGGGACAGACTAAACAGTCCCAAGATACTTGTGGGGACAGACTAAACAGTACCAAGATACTGGTGGGGACAGACTAAACAGTTTCAAGATACTAGTGAGGACAGACTAAAGGAATTGAGTTTTTGCCACAAGCTCTGATTTTATAATCACTATATCTTTGGAACCAAATGTTGCAGACCTTAGATATTTCAAACTATGAATTTTGTTAGATCAAATAATCTGAATTTGAAATATCAAAGGTTTACAACATCGGGTTCTAAAAATATTGAGGTTTAAATATTTGATTTTGTTCCAAAGACTCAATTCCTTTGCCAAAGAAAACTTTTCGTAGCCACATGAACGCAAAAGAAGTGTTTATTGACCTCAAACTCCGATTTTCTAATCTTTACAACCTGTTGGTGCAGTGAACAGCTTGGTCATTTCAAACTTTTACAATTTAATCTAGTTATCTGATTCTTAAATTTGAATAAATAAAATCTAAAAATAATTATTTTCTTGCAAATTCTTTATTTCAAAAGTAACTATTTTCCAATAACAGATGTTAGGTATATCCATTCCAACGCTCTGAAAAAATAAAATAATTATTTTTCAAATATGTTCTTAGATTTTTTTTTAAATTTATGACTCTCACCTGTATGGGGATAATAGATCACAGTAATGCATACCAGCAGCAACTATAATATTTAGTTATTTAAAAAATATAATCAATAGCTGAAGTGTCCAGCGTTACCAGTGGAATTTTAAAACCACTTGAAAAACTTCGAATTAAAAAAAATAAAATAAATAGAATAAATATTTTTGATTTAGCCTATGGGGTTCCATTCAGCCATTTTTATCGAGCCGTTTTTCCAGCTCTAGCTAACATATAAATATATTTACAAATATATATGTATTGTATATATTTGAGGAAAGAGCTGTATATATATTTATTATATAGATTTCAGTACGCTAGCTCTACGAATATTTTTATCCGCTGTTTTTAACTAAAGTTTCAAAGTTTTCATTAAGCGGGGTAAGCTACAGGGTGTCCCAGGAAACATGACAGTTGGTAAATAGTTTTAAATGTCTTCTTCCATAATTTGTGAAGCTCTTTAATACCAAACAGAATAAAAAAAACATCGCTTGGTAGCATTATTATAATTAAGTTGATTTCAAAGCAAAATATAATCGAGTACAAGATTTTTTAAGCAAAATAAACCGCAAATGTCTTTAATATATAATACTTGATACGGAAGAAGACATAAAAACTATTCACCAACTATCATGTTTCGTGGGACACCCTGTCAGGTAATTTTTTCAACCCCTTAATAGAATTTTACTTCTTTCTTAAACTCAATTTCAGGGTATTTCACGGATCAAATTAATGGAAAAAAATGTTAACCTCTTGTGTTTTATATTGATACAAATTGAGTATTAAAAAATCAAAATTTGCCAAAGAAATGTCGATAAGGGTTGCTAATAAACCTCTAAACATGTTAAAGACACTTTTATACAAATCGTTTAGTTCCAAAATCTAAATAATAAAGCTCTTCACTTTATAAGTAAGCTAAATCTGGCAAAAAGGCTGGACCAAATTGACTGACATTTTGAGGGAACCCATTGATATCTTGGGAATAACATAAGCTATACTCGATTTTTATTATTTTCACGGACAACACCGGGAAATTCCGCTATTTACACATACTCAGCGACATTTTACAATTAGGACAAAAAAGCAGGACATCACAAATTCAACTGTTTCTGTTTCTCAATTCTCACTGCAATTAGGAGGATACTTTAAATCCGACCCAAAACTCTATAAATATGACAATTTGAATCCTGATTTTTGGTTTCTATAATCAATGGAGTATTTTGATGATTTACTAAATAATTAAGCACAGAAATAAGCCAGTTTTGGCCTAATAGGAACTCTGAATTCAAGAAAACGGACTAAACATGTACAATCGTCTCTGAAGTCTCATCCGTTGTGGTTAAGCCTGTTTGATACCATTTTATTTTATTTATTATAAGTTGGCTAAATTATATTTGCTTACCTGCAATTATAAAATCAGGTTCCGAGATCAGTGATGTGGAATAGAGACTAGTGTGTGTTTCATTAATTCTGAAATCATTAGATTATCATCATTTTTCTTTTGCTGACTACATGTTGATGATGCCAATTTTTATATTTACAAAATGAAGAAAAAAATTGAAAAGTAAATAAAAATTGAAATATTCTGTTATTATTACTAACATTAGGTGGAAAAAATTGGGAATAGGGTTTAACTTAATCTTTCCTTAATTTTGAGATCCGCAACCTTCATTGAAACATCCATTAAATACCATAAAAACAGCTGCGGTTAAATTACAAGGATAATTGATATGTGTCGATGTAAAACGACATTTAAATTAAAATTAGACATCTGTGATCCCTGGAACTTTCGTTTTTGTTTCTTACTTTTTATAATGAAGTCCAGAGCTAAACTCCCAGCCAGGGCCCCAAGGACTCACTGCAGTATAAAACATAGAAATAATTACAAAAAAAAATCTTTTTTGATTTTTATGACCTTTTTAACATGTACATATTCTGTTTACCGTCACATCACATCTTTTTAAAAAATTCAATTTTTTATAAAGATTCATACAAAAGTTTGAAGAATTATTTTTAAAGAGTTTCAGTATATTTTTCATTTTTCATTTTTCATTTTCATTTTTTCCCATTTATTAAGATACTTAGAGATACTCTATGGGGCAGCATTTGTTGAAAATTACAGAAAATTTCGTTAACAAGTGGAAACCCCCATTGATAGTTTAAAAAAATAAATCGTTAATAAAAAATGTAATGCAAATTTAAAGACACTCGTTGTGTTATATATGGATAGTATGAAGACAAATTTCAGTTGAATAAAAAAGTCGTCTTCATTACATTTGAAAATAATAAACTGGAAAAAAACAATAATTAAACTAAAAGTTCAATTCTTAGTTTTAAACGAACAGGTAATTAATGATTCTGTCTTTTTTTAACAAAGGAATGGACTAAAAAAAGTTTAAGCATGCCTTAAAACTGAGACATAGTTGAACCACTTTTCTTGATTTTGAACCAGTACACAAGAAAAATGGTTAAAGTTAGTCTATATGAGGCTAAAATATTTCTCGATTCTCATTAAATCAAGTCCCTGCAGAGCCTAATAATACAACAATGTTGTTACCTGAATCATCTGTAAAGATAAGTTTAGTTCCAACTTCATTAAACCTCTCAAGAGCATCCTCTGATGCCAAGGACATTGCAACTGATACAATTTATACTTTACGTTAAAAATGGTAACATTTTTCATAAACAGTCCTATTCTGAATAACTCGTGAAAATACAAATTGATTGAGAACTTCAAAGTCGCCTTTAACCTTTGAAATAGCTTGTGACATTCATTATATGTAACTTAATTTTATCAATATTTTTCATGCAACAATAATAAAAAAATAGCACTAATCCTGCCATTTTTTTGCTCTCAAAAATGCAAGAGATATTGAGAATTTTGTTTTAATTTCAAATTATAAAAATGTCTCATTCTGTACAGAAATCATTCATATCTCCAGTAATTATGAAAGCCAAAAATGGCAAACAACATTTTGGAAATGGCAGGAGTAGGACTATTCTGTGATTATTGTTTCATAAAAAGATATTGCTAAAATTAAGCTACCTATGTTGAATGCGGAAAACTATTTCTAAGTTCAAAGAAGACTTTGAAGTCATCAATCTATTTATATTATTCCAGATTATTTAAAATAGAATTGTAGTTGCATCTTTTTTACCTTCTAAAGCCTGAATATTGATATCTTTGCACTGTTTTCTAGGCACCTCAGGCAGGCAAAGATTTTCCCTCAAAACATCCTCAATCTTGAACTTGGCTTTAATCACTGATGCAGATTTTAGGGTTGCAGCATCAAACAGGTCCAGGTCATATTGGGGTTGGGAATAGGTGGTCACAACAGCTGTGCAATCTAAGAAGCATTAACATGTAATAGCAATCTAAATGAACGTAAACAAGAGTAAATTAATTAATCTTTAAAAATATTCAGGAGCTTGCTAATCTATCTTGTAAAAATATTTTAATAATAATTTACTTGCAGATACAACAGAGGGTTTTGCATCTCCAAGATCTTCAAATGGAACAACAAGATTAACAACCTGGAAGTAAAGGGGATGGATTACTGGTTTAAATTTGTCATACAATTGAAAAATTATGCAAAGGCATTTAAAGTTTCATTGTAAGGGGTTTGTAAATAAGAGAAAAACTAAACAACTAGGACATACAGCACCACAATTACTTCATATGATGAAACAGCGAATATGGGAACTAACAGTTTGTATAACATTGGCTGCTCGATGGAACCAAATTAGATTCACGTTTTCTTGTTGTTTGGATACCTGGGTCCTTGCTAGAATCTAGAAAAGATTACCTCAAGACCCTGTAGTTCCTCAGAACTTGAAGAAACCAGAATTTTCTGACCCCTGAACATTGTTTCTTTTCAAGGTTTAACAAACTTATCCTTGAGTTTTTCTTTAACTGATGAGAGAACAGAATTTAAAAAATTGAAAAAAGTAGTTTTTTATGTCACCTAATCATCCAGTTATCTTCCTCAGTTTCCATCAAAGATGCGGTAATAAAGGGGGCTAAGAAATTGGGAAAATATATTCAATTTATGGTTAAAGGATTTATTCCATTCTTATTATGTAATTCTGTTTTTGATTACCTAAAAATTCAGCAGTGTAAGCCTTTAATTCTTCAGTTTTTTCTAAAGCTATCTTGATATCAGTAGAATCAGATATGTCCTCAAAAAAGAATTGATTTTTAGCCAAAAATTCTGATTTTCAAATTCCTATATCTTTGGATTCCAATGATGTTGTAGAACTCTAACATTTCAAACTATGGCTTCTATTATAAACTAATACCAGTTTGAAAAAAACAATTTGCTAAACCTTAAAATAACAAGAACTCACTTGATTCTGAAGAATGAGGAAAGACTTTACTATTTCAGCATAAACAACATGGGCATCTTCATCTGACATCTTGGCAGCTATATCACGCTCCTTCATAAAGGTATCAAGTAGTTTTTGAAGGTACATGTGTTTAGTCACAAATCCTCATTTTTTATACAACAAGTATTTTCAGGTGTTTAAATGGAAATAAGCTCTTTACAAACCTTGTATCCATTATGATTTGAATCATGGTTTAGCCAAAAACAATAAGCTCTATTCTTGTTCTTGTTCTGATATTGAAACTCTTTTTGAATAAGATGTTCAATCAAGACCATTTTTGTTTGATATTGAAACAATATTAATGATGCATATCTGTAATCTTTCAGCAACCAAAAATGTCTAATCAGGGTACTTGAAGGCTTTTTAATGTATTCAAAAATTTTTCCCCATCATAAGACTTTCAATTCTGGGATCTCTTTTCTTACTTTTTTTGTCTAAAGTCTTGTAAAAAGATTAAGAGATGAGACACCCTATAACTCTGTAGTCATATGATAGAATCCAAATTTAAGACTTATAAAGAGGAAAAAGGTTTAAAAAATTCACCCTTTTTTTGACACAACCTGGATATATCTTTAAATTTGAAATTATGGACAAAAAGTTAGAGGTATCTCCGTTAATATTTTTGAAAAAAAACTGATTGTAAGTTTGGTAACTTCAATATCACAAACAAAATGTTAGGAGTTCTTGTCACACTGTTGCAGAATTAAATATCACATATATTCACCTTAACAAAATCTGGAACTTCCCCACTGCCAACTTGAGCATGGTTTACTCCATCAGCTATATAAACTGGATACTAGACCAGACAATTCTAAATTAAAGTAAAATGCTAACATAGGGGTATATATTTTTTCAAATTTGTAAAATAAAAAAAACGTCTAAATCAAAGCTTAATAAATATGCTTTTCTGATTTGGGGTCTTAAACATAATATATTAATTTTTGATTATTTTCTTTACCAGAATATTTTATTTTAAGGAAATGTGATGTGCTGTCTAGAACATGCTTTGATTTAATGATGATATATACTTTTTGTGTCATGTAATATTCATAGAAAAGTTCCTTGTTTGTAACACCAAGAGCGGTTTCAGCTTCAGCAGATTCTTTCCATTCCCTACAGACAAGACATTGTAAAAAATAGGAAGAGTGGATTAACCATAGAAAAATTTAATTTGGTTACCTGAGTGCATAGGTTAGAGATAGGCCATCAATACTGCCAATAACTGTAAGAGCAGGCACTAAATGATATTTGTTCAAAAGAAATAAAGCTTAAACTTAATTACTTAAATTAGTTTTTGCTCTAATTCTATTGTGTGTTTGTATGATAATGTCTAGTCTGAGAAAAAAAACTGAATAAATTGAATTTAAAATAAAAATCATCATTTAAATTTGTACCTTCATAACCATTGTCAATGCCAAACAAAAAATCAGTGAGATAGGATCCAAAGAGAATGACACCAGAATATTGTGCCATATTTTCCTGAATTCTGGTCCATAAAATCAATGCAGAAAGTATATATAATGTTTAAGAAAAATTTGGCTTTAAAGTTTAAAATGTGTAATTATGATTGATTAATTGATTGATTTCTGTTCCTCTGACTGAAGATATTGCTCCAACATAACTCCTCCCAGACTGTGTCCAGCCAAATACATCCTTCCCCTTAATTAAGTCAATCTATATTTCTAATCTATAAACTAAGTCTGAAAATGTGAATTTTAGCTGCCTCTTAAATTCACCAAAAACTGGTTTCAATTAACTTAAAACATTGAATACAATTTTAGTTAAACCAACCATATTTTAGCCGCAGCTTGAACTTATGCTGCAGCTTAAATTTCCGCCTCGGCTTAAACTTAACCACAGCTTAAATTCATGCCATGGCTCAAATTCTTTAAATTCAGCCACTGTAAAAAGTAATACAAAGGGGAGCAAATCTAACAGATGGAAATCATTTCTGGGCTTGTCAGAAAAAGAATTTTATTCCGACTTTTGGAAAAATGGAATAAAATTCTTTCATTCCATTCTTTTTTATTTAGATTGAAAATGTCTTGGTTTGTTTTATACTAATAATACAATAATTCTCAAACCTTTATTTTTTTCACTATAATAGAATATATTTCATATAAAAATTGTAAGAAAACAATTGAAATATACTCATAAGCCAAGAAAATACTGCATATTAACTTACATTTAAGCCATTATGGCCCTGTACAAATAACTTTTAACACATTAAGGAGGAAAAATGTATATTTACCCAAGATTTAGATCCTCAGCTTGGTCTCTGCAAGCATTTATAGCTCCAGCAATCTCAACTGGATTGGGTGTATCAAGAAGCCATCCCTAAGCAACATAGAATAAAATTCTATCCTTTTTTTCTAAGAAGAATCTTGATACATTCACATTTTACAAGATCATCTTAACCATAAATTTTACTAAATTAGCAACACATTTGCTTGATCATTTTTGGATTTTGGGTTGTTGACAGCACAGTTGAATAATTTTCAATCTAGAAAGATTTTAACATTCACAATCAAAATTCCCTATGTTTCCAGGAAAATAATTTTTCAATTTTTCAAAAATTTGATTTTTAGCTGGTATACCTCTGTTATGCCAAACCATACTTTGTTGGAGCCCATCAACTCTTGTATGCGCAAAGCTAGATTTACAGATAAATAACATTAACAAACATATTTGACATAGAATGCCTATTTAAAATAGTATTTAAATCTTTAAAAGAAAAAGGATTTATTTTGTAACACAAAGCTCTTGCCATATTAGTGCATGTTTTCGATCAGTTTGCCTACAATAAGTTGAGTTATCATGAAAGATATGCCGTTTACGATTATAGAAGCTCCAACCCAAATTTGTTTTAAATGATTTAGGCAGGGCTTTTATCAGGAAGATAATATGGTCATTAGGGAAATCATAATATTACTACCTAATGGAATGTATCTCTCTCCAGGATAGTTTGCTCCCGGGATCATTATAATCCCTATTTCTCCACCCTCAATCCCTAGGGATTAAGCTTTTAGTGAATTAAAAAAGGGTTCTTTAGCAATGTAAAGTTCAAATTGTTTAATGTTTTTAAATAATATTCATCCTTTAATCCAATTTGCATTTAGCTTTTTGGGATAACTAAAACTATTTGGCTGATTTTCTATTTCTCAATAATCTAATGCATCTTGAATTATGTAACACCTTAACAAACTATTTTGAAACATTCATAACATTTAAGGTTCATAAACTAATTTATAAATTACAAATCTGTTGAGGACAAAAATATAAGAATTGGTTGATTTGATTTAACTTTTTAAAGTCTTTTCATTTTCTTTAGTCAAAATTAACTCTTTTACTATAACTTACGTACCCATTGGTGTCAAAATCTCACACTTAGCAGCAGAACTGACCCTGAAGTAGAGTAAGAATTAAGAGGCTGAAAATGGATTTATGACAGTTTTTATATCACATTAAAGCAAAAAATATTTCATGTTAGCCAAGTTAAGGAAAATATGAAAAATATTTTGAACCAGTATGTTTCAAAATTCAAAATCTATATTTTTTAATCTTGACCAAAATTTTCATAAAGAATCAGATAGACTTGTGGAAAATTGCCTAGATTAATTAATTGCCACTGAGTATAACAATAAAAATACTTAAAAAATAATAATAATCAAATGCTCTTTCAATGCATGTTCAAAGTTTTTTTTCCCTAAAATTATTTATATATTTATTTATGTGACAAAAAGAATATGTTTTTTAACACTTTTGTTTTTACCTTTGATAAGTGGCCAAAAGTAGCAGTATGAATGTAAATTTCTCCATCTTGATTCTAAATAGGCACAACTTGAGTTTGGATTGAAGAGAATGTAAACTTAATTCAATTCAGGACCATCCCCCCTTAAAGGCTTTGACTGATAAAGAATGAATGAGAAGTTTCTCTTTTTGATCGTGAAGGATAAACACTTCTATTCATGTCCCTCTTTAAATGGAGGGGTTTCTTGAAAATGAAAATACACCTACAATTGACAGCCCTTGAGGGTAAAATTATATTTAGTATTGATTACTTTGGAGATTTTTAGAAAAATACATATTATATATAAATATTATTTCTTTCAATAACAATCAAGGATTCAAGGGGGGAGGAGGGTAAAAACATGTTTAAATGCACCCCCCCCCCCCATTCTTTATTTAAAGTGTGACTAAATCACTTCTCTTCACTATGCAGCATCCAGATAACAATTCAACAATGTTTTATACTTTCATCTCTTATCTTCTTGAACGCTTCAAATATAAACTAACTAGACGTAAATCATGACATAAAAGATAGGAAATACAAGCCCTTAAAGGGTCTGTAGACGTTTTTCAAGTGTTCCTTCAATTAAAATATTTAATATTTAGATTTAAAATGGAAGTCTTAAAACATCTGTCTAAAAACAATGATGGAATTAACCCATTCTTCAATCTTTTTTTTAATAAAAGTGAATTCAAACTTTAATGCAATAGAGAAAAGAATTATTAACCTCGAGATCAATACCTCTTAAGACAAAAAAATGGCAATAATAATATACTTGTTTACCAATAATTTACCTTTTAGCTCCACAGCTTATGAAATGTAAAATAATGCCTAAATTACATAAGACTATCATGTACATAATGAAAAATGTACACTATTATTACTTAATAATGGAGTCATTATTGTTCTATCTTTATCCTTCCTTTGTTCCTGAATCTGTTGTAAGGAGGCCGAGTATCGTCTTCTACACTACAATGTTTAATCCAATTTGAAATGGGATTGCATAAAATTAAATGTTTGGGAAAAAATTTTAAGTTCTGGGAAAATCATAAAACTTAGGCAGAAAGCATGAAATGTTTGGGACAAAGAATGAAACTGTTTGTTGTTGGTATTACTGTTAAATTTTTCATCTATTTTTTTATTTACTAACTAAATGATTGTTCAACAAAATTGTTTGTGCAGTGATATTGCTTGTTCAGTAAGTTATTTTTTTATTTTTTTTAGTAAAATGGTTTGTTTAGCGATATCATTCATTCAGTAAAATTGTTCATTCAAAAAAATTGTTAGTTAAGTAACATTGTTTGTTCAGCCAAATTGTTGGTTCAGTACACATATTATATGGTATGAAAAGGCAAAATAAGTAGAACAATTCTTCCCCATTTATTCTGTTTTCATATTGGTCTTTCACAAACTTTTTCTGCTTTGTTCATTAACAAATGAACGATTTAGAAAATAAAAAAACTAGCTGAGGCCAAATTTAAAGAATTTGAGACCCGGTTGAAATATGGTTAGTATCACTTAAAATTGTATTCAATGTCTTAAGATTTTAGCCGGGGCTCAATTGAAACAGGATTTTGGCGAATTTGAGAAATTTCAATAAATCGGACTCTGACTGAGCTAAAAAAAAGTTTAAAACTTTAATTTCACTAAAAAATCCAATTTGTTTGTACAACTTACATGTAGGGTTGATAATTGTTTTTGAAAAACGATTGTTAATGAAGGGTCATTGTTAATGATTGTTCATAAAATGACGATTTTTATAAAAACGAACATTTTTAAAAGATGAACTTTTTGATAAAACAATGGTTTAGTTTTCAATTTTTTGTCGTCGTTTTCAAAAGAAAACGATTGTTTTTCAAAAAAATGAAAACGTTAACATCCCTACTTACATAATATTTTTTTACAACAATATGTGTTAATAAAAGATTTAGTTTATTTACAAAAATTATGGCCATCTTTATTTAATTTTAACACGATAAGAACTATAAGAAATTTGTCAATGTCAATGTCAATGTCTTAAGGTAGTTTTGCATTATTGCTTTCAAATTTGTTATGTTTGTCTGTTTTATTATTACTACTTGTTTGAAAATACTATTTGACAATGCTAAGATCAAACAAAGTTTTTAAAGTTAGAAATAATGATTTACACAAAACTGCAGAGTATAGTTAATCAGTTCAACATGGACCAATACAAGGGTCTGGCTATATACTTTCTCTTTTACCTTTACTCATCAGGTAAATCTGCAATAATAATTGCTTTTCAAAAATGTTCTATAAATCTGAATCAATCAAAGCTTGAAATTGAGTCTGTATAACAATTCCAGATGGGATAAGACACTTATATGAATTATTTTAACTTTGAAATTAAGGACAACAGCCAAAGTACTATGGTCATAATTCTATAGGTTAAAATTTTGTCTTAATAAAGTTATTGATCAAAATGTTACTGATAAATACTCAATTCATTTACTGTTAGAATTTATTTATTCTGTAGTTATACATAGGAAAGAAAAAAATTTGTATCCCTCTGAATTAAACTATTTTTTTCTGTTCATTCCTGTGAGATCAGTCAAAAAACATCTGATGTTTTTAGATTCTCGTACTTAAAGTAAACTTCTCAAAAGGTCCAAAACCTTCTCTAGTACGCTAACTTTTAGATGGTAGAGTTCATGTCTAGGAAGGTTAAAATGTTCTCCTGTAGGCTGGTTTGTATGGAGGTTTTGCTAATCAGGCGTAATTATTGCAACATTTTGCAAAATTACTTTTGTAAAAATTAGGCGAAATTATAGTGTAATTGCGCATAGTGAATAATCTATTACGTTGGAAACCCTAAACTAATGATGCATGAAAACTAATTGAAAGTTAAAGATTGATAGCATAAGATTTCATTCTAAGACTATTTTATTCTGTGGATGGAAGATCCAAGAAAAACGTTTATTATTATAGGAGAATCCAGAAGTTACCTAATTCAGACTGCTATAGAAAATGGAAACAGAAAAGCAGGAAGTGAAAATAACCTAGCCTTTGATGTCAAAGATAATGATGAAGAACCCCAGTTGTTAGTAGATTTGAACCCAAAAGGTAACCTGCTTTTATTTGCTTGATAATGATGAATAAACCAACGTAATTTATAAATAGGTGCTGGTGCATCATTGAGAGCTCTCTCTCCTAAAACATCAAAGTTCTGCGATGATCCTGATCTCTTATCCTGTCAGATCGCTGACATTAGTGCTAATATTCTTGGAAAGAAAAGTATTCTGCTCCCAGGGAATATAGAGTTAAAGTTTAAGAATAAAGTTCCGGGGAATGACAATGCTTACAATTATGAAGGAGCTGGGTCCAGTCTTATTGTTATTTACAATCCTGAAAGCAGTGCAATGAGTGGAACAGCTACCCTAGCAGATGGAAGAACTTTTGTACTTGAGTACATAGGCGAAGAGGGGCATTTATGGAAAGAAATGAATATTCAAAAGCTTAATCAGCTTTCATATGTTAGCAATGGTAATAGAGGTGAAGGTAGAACTCCATTTCAAGATTTTATTGAGTTACCCCCTGGTAATATTAATAGACGAGAATGGAATCCGTTACTTAATGGAACAACAGACAATACTACCATGGCCTTTATATCAGTTAAAATTCACTTTACTAAGGAATTTGCTAGTATTACCAGCAACATTAATGATTTTGTGGATAAAATGCTAGCAATTACTAACCAAGGATTCCTTAACAGCAAGGTTCCAATAACTGTAGTAATGAATTGCCTAGAGGAAACTGGCCTAGAAGAAACAGGGTCTGCTAACTCTATGTTTGACAAATTTGAAAATTCAGAAAACTTGTATCAGACTGCAGATACTGCATTATTACTTGTAAAGAATTTGGGAGATTTATGTGGCATTGCATATACATATGCAATTCATGGCAATGCAATCTCTGTTGTACAAAAAAGCTGTGTAGAAACCTTTACTTATGGTCATGAACTTGCTCACAATTTGGGTTGCCAACACAATATTGAAGAAACCAAGAATCGGAATTTCCCACATGGCCAGGGAAGCTTTATTGACAATCCATATAACCCCTCACAAGGCTATCATACTATCATGACTTATTGGAAGAATTCCCATCCAATAAAAATAAACAGTTACTCTAACCCTGACGTAATATATCCTAGAACTAACACTAAAACTGGAGATCCAGAGAAATCAAACAATGCTGCTGTTCTGCTACAAAACCGATTTTTCATAGCTTCCTTAGGTGATGAGAGTCAACAATGCTTTTTAAAAAACTGTCTCAATGGTAAATGTAAAGATTCTGGTTTACAGATTAAAAATTGGTGATTTGAAAAGCTGAGTATAGATGGCAAAAACTGAATTTGGTTAAAATTATAATGTTGTGGCAGAGAAAATAATTAAACTACATTACACAATGTTTGTTTGATCATTTTTGGAAATAGAAATTATTTCAGAAAAAATATTTATTTACATTTTCATGAATTGGAGAAAGAAAAAAGAATCTTTTTCAGTTATTTTAGTAAAGAATGCTAAGGAATGGTATTAGTGTATTTTGAAACTGATTATAGAAACCATACACCATTAATCATAAATGTGCAGACTGTAGATAGTGTAGAATTGTAATATTCATGTTTATTTTAAGTTTTAGTTTTGCACTTTCTACATTTTACACATTTCTCATTAATAGTTTAAAGGGAGTGACAGGCCATGGAAGGTAGTTGAACTGAGTATGCAGTGTTGTGGAAAACTTCTTTCGGATTCATTTTAGACATATTAAACATTTTAAAGATCACAGTTGTCTGCTTTCTCTCTAGCAAAACGGACCTACTATGCAGTCCCAGAATTGCAGCTGGGGAAGCGCTGTGTTTAGTTACGCATCAAGTATCCTACAGGGGAAGCAAGAATTGTACATAGATTAAAACAAAACTTCATCTTCAGCTTGGTTCACTGAAAGAGGAGTTTAACCCCTCGTGGGAATACAAGCCATGCACAACGATACCAGTTTTTTACTCGACCAGATGTGAGGACTGGACTGCCATGGAAGGTACCTCTCAATAGAGCTTTCAGGGATCACAATTCCCCATTTTGCATATGGGGTGCAGTTATGGGTAAATTCCTTAATTCCCGTAACTGGGAAACAGTATAAAATGAAGGAACACAGGGAGAAATCCCCTATACCCTTCTTCCTACAAACCTCCATATCTCTCTCCTACCTGCTCCACAACTCAATGTTAAAAGAACTATTTGGAAAGGCCTCAAAGTGTAAAAACAAGAAACAAGAAGCAAGAAGAAAAAATAAATTGAACAGAAAAAAGTGGAAGGGAAATCTCTTGACAGTAGAGATGGGTGCTTAAAGCAAGATAAACATGAAAGAAGAAGAAAACTTTGGAGATAAAAAAACTGGAAAATGTGTAAAATGCCCCCTCACCCCTCTCCCCCTCTGAGAAAAGCTAGGAATGCAGGAGCTGACTCGACACAGTATCATGACTGAAGCAAAATTTAAATATAAACAAGGGGAAGAGTAACCTTGCCACTCTCAATATATAGAATATAGATACAAGGCTTCAAAAAATAGTTCTACCTCTGCAATTTGGCTAGCTGCAGAAAACATCCAAAAAATTCATTTATTTTTATTTTCAAAATTAGCCATAGTGTGATTGAAGGATGGACAAGGAATGGAAGATCAAGAAGAAAGGATTAAAAACAAGAAATATAGTAGTCTCAAAATGTTTCCATCTGATATCATATTAAAATTTAAAAATATTGTAAAATTAAATAAGATAAATTATTAAAGTTAAAAAAACTTTTAAAGATGTAAATCTTGAGTTTGAGCGCAAATCCGATGTTCAAAACTCCTACTTTGGGGGTGGATACGTTTTCAGAATTAGTTTTTTTAAATTATTAAATAACGACAACGAAAAATAAATTAAAAATTATACAAAAATCTAATTAGATGGCTAGGAACATATTTCACAAAAGAAATTTGTCAATAAATTAATGCTAAAATCGATTATTTTGTTTTCATTATTATATTGAATTTCTTATGATCTTTGAATTTATTCAAAGATTTCTTCAAATTCTTCAAATGTCGTCTTTTCAATAATAATTCTAGAAAATCTGCAGAAAATCTTTGTGAATAATGAGAAACCAGAATAATGAGAAAATAGAAACTAATAATTGAACAAGATTACTTATTTTTGATAATAAGATTAATTTTTAGCTTGTTTATTGTAGAACTTTTTTACAATTTATGTTGGCGTTATTTAATAATTTTAAAAAACTAATTCTGAAAACGTATCCACCCCCAAAGTAGGAGTTTTGAACATCGAATTTGCGCTCAAACTCAGGAATTACAGATCTTTAAAAAAGTTTAATATGTCTCAAATGAATCCAAAAAAAAGTTTTCCACAACACTGCGTCATTCTCTTTAAATAAAACCTAATGAGTTTCAAAATACATTAATATGTACTGATCACATATTCAATGCTGCGACATTTCAGTGTGTTTGAGTCCTCAGGCATACCGGACTAAATTTATATTTGGAGCTACTTCTGTCTTTGGATTTCAATATTTTACATTTCTTTGGAGATTGCAAATCGTATAATATTTGCAAAAAATGTTGCTAAGTTTTTTGCAAAGACACCTTTCAAGAATATTTGCACATTTTCAATTTCTCTTGAATACACACTAAGGTTTTGAAAATTTTGCAAATATGTTTGCATATTTGAATTTGCTGGCTGCGGGTTAAGCGCTTTTTATTAAGGTATAATTTTTCGCATTTTGTGCAATTTTAGTTTTGCACATTTTTTGCTCAAAAACTAGATTTTGCAGTAAATATTTGGGTTCTTGCAAATTTGCGATTTTTTCAAAATTTGTCAAAGTAAGTAAAGCCAGCCCAAGGGCTTTCCAAATATTATGAACAAATGTTATACATTTGTACCACAGTAAGAAAATAGAGGTAAACTATCATTAACCCCCTCTAGTCTATTTTGGATAAACAAGACGTCAGTCGGATGCAATAGAGTTGAAAAATATATGTGGTTTATTAAAAAATAATCATAATACTTAATTAAAAAACAATTAAAAATGGTTATTCATTTAATAAGTTTGAGAAAATGGTACTAGTTTTAGTAAAAATGGTTTCATATTTCGATCTAAAAATGGTTATATTTTTTGTCGAAAATATTCATATTTTAGGTCAAATATATGGTTAAATATCTGGTTTAAGAAACGTTAATATTTTTGTTCAAAAAAGGTTTTATTTTATTCATTCGAAAATGGTAATTTTTTTGGTTAAAAAATTATATTTGTAACTTAGTTGTATTAGTGAAACTAAGAAACCCACTTGGTGAAACTAAAAAACACAAAAGGCAACCAAGAAACACACTTAGTGAAACTAAGAAACACACTAAGTGAAACTTAGAAACACACTTAGTTAAAATAAGAAACACACTTAGTGAAACTAAGCAACACACTTAATGAAACTAAGAAACATACTTAGTGAAACTAAGAAACACACTTAATGAAACTAAGAAACACACTTAGTGAAACTCAGAAACACACTTAGTGAAACTAAGAAACACACTTAGTCATGAAACTAAGAAACACACTTAGTAAAACTAAGAAACGCACTTAGGGAAACTAAGAAACACACTTATGGAAACTAAGAAACTCAATTAGTGAAACTCAGAAACACACTTAGGGAAACTAAGAAACACAGTTATGGAAACTAAGAAACACACTTAGTGAAACTCAGAAACACACTTATTCATTAAACTAAGAAACACACTTAGTGAAACTCAGAAACACACTTAGGGAAACTAAGAAACACATTTAGTGAAACTCAGAAACACACTTAGTGAAACTCAGAAACACACTTTGTGAAACTAAGAAACACATTTAGTGAACATTTTTTTATCTTTCGAGGGGGGCTCAGCATCCGTTGGGACCTAAAAAACCCCTGAAATCAATAGACTTCACTGGCCATGGGGGGGGGCTTAGTCCCATAGCCCCCCCCCTGAATACGCCCCTGATTTGGTTTCTTAGATATCAGACTGTGTGTACTACTTTATCTCTCCTTCAAAAAAAACTAACAGAAAAAAGCTTTGTTTCTAAAAAAATCGACATTTTATTATACTTTTATGTTAATAATAATTAGTATTTAAACTAGAGATAGTAAAAGACATTTTTGAAATAGAAAACTCAACAATTAAACTTAAATTCTATGAGATGAACAAACGACAAAGGTCCAGAAAATAATCATAACTTGTAAAAGTTTCTGTTTTGAAAAAAAAAGTAGGATTACAATTGTAATCTATATAATAATGCTCTTCGTTTATTTATATGTTTGTTATGACTGGCCAAACGGCTGAATCAATTGGGCTAAATTTTAGTGGGGAAACTCATGGATACCCTTGGGGATGACATCAGATAAATAAATTATAAGTTTTTTGTTTTAATTCGATTTTTTAAATTATGAATTATAAATTATAGTAAATTATAATAAAATTATAATAAATTATAAATTATAATAAAGAAAGATTACAACACGGCACGGCGTTGCAATGAATAAAGTGAATTAAATCCAAATTAAAAAACAAAAAATGGTCTGTTACAGGTTACTGTTACTACATCCATTTAAAAATAATTGTTTAATTTTGCTATCCCTGACCCATCAGATTATTATGAATGTGAATTCTAAATAGATTTTTCATTCGCGGACTTCTGTCAAGGGAGGGAGGGAGTCCAAAGTTCCTCAAATAGTAATCACCGCCACCCAAATCTGTTTTGCGGCAAGTGCGCTCCTCAATTGGTAATAGCTCCACCACCTCAATTAGTAATCACCGTAAAATTTAGTTTTCTGTGATTTGAATTTAATACACTTTTAACACAATTTTCGACATCTATCGGGGTTTTGGCATCTGTATTGACTTAAACTAAATTTTCAAATTATTCTCAGATTTGTTTGGTCAACAAAAACTGAGAATCAAGGCACAGTTCATTTTAGCTGAATCTTAGATCCAATTCGCCACTTTAATGACTGCATTTCATGATTGGCGTCAAGATACTAAAAGGTCAGGCTGCCTGTTTACTAAAAATTATCTCATCCCACGCAAAGTAATATCCATCTCCGTTTAAAAGATATTTTCAAAAAACCTTTACAGTGTTTAGATTTTTGTATTCGCCAACTCGAGTTCAACATCTACAACAAAACTAATTATATGCATAGAAAGTACTTAAAATTTACTAAAAATTACCTCACCCCGCCCAAAGTAATATCTATCTCCATTTAAAAGATATTTTCAAAAAACATTTACAGTGTTTAGATTTTTGTATTCGCCAACTCGAGTTCAACATCTACAACAAAACTAATTATATGCATAGAAAGAACATAAAATTTTGAAAAATTAGTCTCATCACATTCACACCCACTACTGAAAATGAAGTATTTAGTCCACTAATAATGGGTTAAAGTTTCCTCTCTATATAAGGACTAAGGAGTTTAAAACAACATTCAGAGGAAAATAAGAAATAAACGATTTAATTTTATGCTTTTTTTGGGCTGATTACTATTTGAGGTGGTGATTACCAATTGAGGAGCGCGCTTGCCGCAAAACAGATTTGGGTGGCGGTGATTACTATTTGAGGAACTCTGGACTCCCTCCCTCGTCATGGTGGCCTTTTGGTCCATCTCCAATTTCCATGAATACAATCTTCTCAGTGCACCGAATGAACAGCAAACTATTTTTTAAGATTTGAAAAGTGTGAAAGCTCTGAGTTCTACATAGATCGGGGGGGGCTACGCCACTCCCCCCTCTTTGCAGATCTAGGCGGCACTGCCCCCCCCCCTGTATACGCCCTTGTACCTGGCAAAATTAAAATTGTTGAATTTTACTTGAGTAGAATTTGAAATAAAATGAAATTGTCTCGGGAAGACGACAAATCTATTTAATATTTGTAACGGGCGTCAGAGGATACTTTTCTATATTCTTCAAATTACCAAACGTATACATTTTACAATTAAAAAATTCATAACATCGACATACATTCTTATATATTTTTGCTTTCTCCAGAAACCCCGAACAGATAAAATTGTAAGCTTCTATTGATGTTTCTCGTCTGTACGTACACTCTTAGCTATTTACTATTACAGAAGAGGGGAAATTTTCTGATTATCTGATATTTATGTTTTTATTCGTGAACGTATCGCGAATCAAATTGTTGATGGGTAATCATGACCCCCTCCTACAGAGGCGTATTCCGGGGGGCTATAGGGGCTCAGCCCCCTCCCCCCAGGTCGGTGAAATCTGCTGTTTATTTATAATTATATATATTTTTATTTTCAGAAAGTCTAAGAATGAAAACTGAAATTATATTTCTCTGATGTGGAAGACATGAAATTTAATGATTCGAAGGTAACAAGGGTCTGTCCTAGTGTAGAAAGTGTCTTAACCTAACCTAACCCTAAATAACAAAAAAATAAATATTAATAAATTTGCTGAAAAATGAATGGTCATGTACAAAATTGATAGGAGGGGGGGAGAGGGGGGGGTCTAAAAATCGTTCACTAGGACAGACCCGAAAAGTAATTATTTTTGTTTGTTGTTTCTCTACAAAAGGGATTTTCGTAGATAAAGATTTTAAGGATGAATGTTGTGTTGTATGCACCTGCACTTTAAATGGAGGACCACTTAAATTGCAACAACAATCCCATTGATTTTGTGACTACTAGACTTAATGTGAATGTTTTTATTTTCAGAATTAACTAGTTTCTGGTGGATCTTGAAAAAATTTCTTTAAAAAATGGAGATTCTACATAAAGTATATTGGTGTGATCAGTGTTCCTATGCTGCGGCTAAAATGTCGAATCTAAAAAGACACAAGGACAGTTTACATCTTGGATTAAAGTATCCCTGTGACAAGTGTGATTATGAAGCAACCACATCATCTAGTCTAAAAGTGCATATGAGTAGCAAACACGATGGAATTAAGTATCCCTGTGATCAATGTGACCATGTTGCGCTGACAACAGCTAATTTAAAAGTTCACAAAGACGGTCAACACGATGGGATAAGATATCCCTGTGATCATTGTGATTATAAAGCAAAAAGACCTTTCGATTTAAAAAGACACCAAGAAAGGATGGAAAAGCGAGGTAAACATCCTCAGTCTACATCTTCTCTGAAAAATTCTAAAACGAAAAAAAGAAGACTCGATGAAGCAAATTTTGAAACTTTCCCCGATGAAGAATTACAAATGAAGGTTGAAGTTTTAATCACAGAAGAAGATGAAAATGGGAATGAAGAGGAAAAGGAAAAAAACGGTTCAGAGGAAAGTGAAAATAAAGATAAGAATGAAACCGAAGGAGATGGAAACGAGAATTCTGAAATTGAAAAGAAAGATAAAGTTGAAGTATTGATTGCTGGCGAAGATATTTATTAACTGAGTTGTTGTGGAGACAGCTGAATGTAAACAGGAATAATTCCAGGGGGGTTGAGCTCCCTCTTCATCCCCTGAAAGCCTCTGTTAATAGGCAGAGTAAGGCATGATGCAACCCTACAAGTTTTATTGTATGAGTTATAATCCATTTTAGAAATATCTTTAGATTATTTTTGAGAAAGTTTTAAGTTGCACAGGTTGCCTCAAACTCGTGTACTATTGTCATTTTTCTTTTCCCTGCATTTAGAAAATTTGGAGCTTTTAAAAACTTCTCGTAGGAGTTAAAAAAAGAACAAATGTCTTGAGCCATTAATTGGAGAAAGTAATAAATGTTACACAGCAGTGCTTAGGATCCATTTAATTTTGATGCGGATCCGGATTCTGGATCCGCACTGGAAAAAAATGGATCCGGATCCAGGTCATTTCTTTAAAATTTACTGAATTTTTTTAACAAAAAATAATTTTCAAATTTTTTGTTTAATTTTTTCCGCTTATTTTTATCCTAAAACTTGATGAGGAAATTTTTATAATCTCTCATTTTTCAAAAGTTCAGATTTGGGTTTTAGGAGTAAAAAAGTTTTTTTTGCAGTTTTTGGTTGATATTTTACCCCTTGGATCCAGATCCGTGGGTCCGCATATTTTTGCGGATCCGGATCCAGGAAGCCAAAGTCTTGCGGATCCAACGGATCCGGATCCTAAGCACTGTTACAAATGGTAAATCAGTTGCTGTAAATATCTCTTCAAATGGAATGTGGATGTAATTTAAAGTGAGCCCCATTTAAAAATGTTGCTGGTCTGATTTACAATGGTACCCTCTAAATATTTTTCCAAACAGAAATGATGGAGTAAATAATATAAAAATGATGGAGTAAATAATATAAAAATGATGGAGTAAATAATATAAAAATGATGGAGTAAATAATATAAAAAAATTCAATTTTAATTGTGGTTCTCTTTTAGAATGACTTTCTGACTAATACTAAAAAGTCAAGGAATAATAATTTTTCTAAATAATCGTTTCAAGAGAAAAAATCAACGATATCTTCTTTGATCAATCCTACATGAAACACTTTATAAGGACACTTAATAGTTCGTTCTATGCTAATATAGGAGCAGTGGATTTTTAACTCGTGAATTTTAAATTTAAATATTAAAATGTTAGATTAGTATTTTTCATGATAAGATTTTGATGTGGTTTATTGATTGATATTCAAAACAAATTCAGAGAAAGCTTCCAAAGCTATAGATGCAAAAACAGAGAAAGATTTTAACTGTGTTATATCATGTTTAGTGTTTACATGGCTCATGTCTTAAAAACTTGTAAACATGTTATGAAATCTGCAAAGTCTTGTGTCTCTAGTGTAGAACAGTGCTGAACATAAGTGCGCAGGATCCGCATTAAACTGTTCAGGATCCGGATCCAAGTGCTGAGAATCCGAATCCAAGTGCTGAGAATCCGGATCCAAGTGCCCAGGTTTGGATCCAAGTGCCCAGGATCTGGATCCAAGTGCCTAAGATCCGGATCTAAGTGCCCAGGATCCGAATCCAAGTGTCAAAGTAATAACTAATAAAAATGTTGGTTAAGGAGATCTGATCTTTGAATTCACGGCTAAAAATTATCACAAAAAGACATAGTTTTCTTAATTCAACGACATGATTGGATTCGGACGTTATCACGTTATATCTAATCTTGTTAATTTTTCACAACATTTGATTTTCTTTATTTTAACAAGTTTGTAAATATTTACAAGTTCAATATATTCCTAAAAATAAAAAAATTATCTTTAAAGCAAAACTTAATAAGTATTTTGTAATTTATGAATTTTAATTCGTTATAGTTTATTTTATTTTCATTATAGTTTAAGTGTTATTGCTCCTTATACAAAATAAAAATTTATCAATTTCTGTATGTCGTCTTTGTGATGTACTTTAGTTTAGAAAAAATTTGATTATTATATTTTTTCATAAACTTCATTCAAAATTTAAATCTTGTCGATATTAAGTAAATAAATCTTTTCTCATATTGTTGATTTGAATAATATTACCTTGGCCTTGGAAAAAAAGAATTTGTATAACAATTTTTTTCTTTCGTACATACAGAGTGTCCCAATAAACATGGGAATTCAGTGACGAAATCTATATCGTCTTTTCAAATAATTCTTTGATCTAGTATAGTGATACCTACTGAGAAAGCTGTAATCTCTGAGAGTTTCGTCTGCTATGTTCACATTTTGTTTGTTTTGACTGCATACGGTTGTACTTAGTTAAACAAGAAAACTGCAGTATACAAACAGAGTAAACTTGGCCGTCTTCACTGTTCATCTTGCGGATACATTATTGCCACATCTTTAAAGTTATTTACCGTTTTCAAAAATTAAACTCCTGCAGACATAATTATATTATGGCTTTTGAAATTAGGTATTACAGTGCAAATTCATAACCAAGAGGATATCGAATCGTCAATGAATTCCCAAGTTTTTTGGGACACACTGTACCTTATTGATTTAAAGGCATGGCAGCTTTTGGACACGACTTATTGATATTTCTGAAACTATTAACTAAAACCATAATTTTCTTATACACAATTCAGGGTTTCAAATAGAGTCATATTGTCTGAAACTTCATTCTAAATTTTCCAAAACCCTTATTAGCAATTGTTTTTTTTTATGAGCAAGAAAATTAATTTGGTGAAGTTAAGTTGTAAGATTGCTACTTCAGAGCAAAATATTTTCATGAGATATTCAATTTGAAAAGATATTGCCCTTTCTAAGAAACTCAAAAATAAGAAAATTTTCTCAGTTTCCGAACTTAACATAAAACAAATTCTTATTTTTATCGATGAACTATAGCGTTGCAGGTTTCTTGCTGCAGAAAGAAAGAACATAGATCGTGATATGCAGAATTAGAACACTAAAGATAAAAACTATATCGTTCATATGTTTGGAGACAAAAGTACCGTAGTTAATCGGTCTAGCTTTAAATGTTCCGTTTAAACATTTTTGTTGAATTTTTTAGTTTTATTTTGCAAAATTAATTCTCTTGTTTCTAATAAGTAAAGAAACTTAAATTACCACCTTTTCTAGTACTAATATAGAAGACAACAATAATACATATATAAACATATATTTGAAAGGAATGAAACCCCTTGGTTGCTCTGCATGATATATACATATAAATATATACGTTATATGTTACAAGCATACTACGTATATATATATAGAATTATGAATTACAAGTTACACCTACTCATTTTCGATTTGTCTATCAACCTTTGTCTATACTTTTTGAATGCACCGATTCATAATCATACTCTTCCTTAATCTTTAATTTTGAATCGTTGGTTGATTTGAACCGAAAGGAAGTAGTTCAACGATATAACTCAAAGTCAATAAATTCAGTTCCTTTTAAGATAAGTGTTTCGGATTTCTTCATTTTTTTTTTTAAAAACTAGACATGCATCAATTACGGTGGTAATTATGCTTTACAGGTGTAGAAAAATATATCTAGCAATTGGCAAATACAGTTGAGATTAGGAATTGTTAAAGACTTAAGCATGATGAATATTATCCGTTTAACCCTTGCTTACTGCCTGATTTTCATAGCTTCCGGCTTTGATTACTGTATCATTAATCCTAATCATACAATGTGTATATATGTAAGTAGAATTTATGTAAGTAATGTGGGATTGACAAATGTTTATGTGACTCTCCATGTGTGTTCGATTCACAACAGTACTGTTTTAACATTTGACCATGATCAAAGGCTTATATCCTTATTAGTATTCAGAAACACTTGGAAATTTGGAGCATTATGTTTGCAGGCTGTTTTATATTTAAGAAACATTTATTTTGACTCTAGGAGTCGTAGAAATTAAAGGTATATATTGAAAACCCGCGTGGATTATATAAATTCGAAATATTTGAGAAATATATGTGACTATCATCTGTATTCAGGTTCCCTTCAGTTTTCCGACAATTTAAACATGATTTTAAAGTTAAAAATACTGAAGTCTCTTTCCTCGATGATGAGTCAAGGGTTAAAGGATACTGTTGTAAATTCTCTGTGTAATTAGAGTTTCGTTTGAAATTATGCTTCAAATTACAGTCCCTTTCATACCCAAATATTTGTTTAATTAGATAATCTTTCGGTTCAAGGATACCCAGATGCGGTCCAGCATGATTTCATGTATTGCCAGAAACCCGAATTTTTCCCATGTCAATTTTGTTCATTTTAAAATGTTGCTGGCCACTTATTTGAAATATAAAATATTTAATTTATGAATACTTAATTAATTATATAGCAGCTTATGGGATTGGGATGGGATTTAAACTTTTAAATCAAAGGATTTATTGAATCAAAAGATTTTGATTAAATTTTACCATAACAGTCCCGTAAACCGAGTTGCCTAAAATGTTTATTGGGCAAACCAAGTTTTCCTGGGTTTCACCTTCTTATGCTAAACTGCAGGCAAAGCTATAATATATGTAATTCGAATGACAACATTTGTATTTTATAAAACATTTTTCAGGAAGGAACCAATTTAAAGAACTGTGTTGAAACCTCGGCAAATAAATTTTTTCAACTGAATGAGGTTGGAAGAAAAAATATTTTGGAGAAGTAGGTTTACATTTATACCTGGGGGGGGGGGGGGACAAGCATCGACCTTTTGTGTTGATGGTATTTCTTTGATATATACATGGGTTGTCGACAGGAACGGAGACTTCAATGACGTCTTAAGGAATTTATTTCGTACAATCTTGTTTCAGTTAGTGATATTATCTTTTATACATGACCTACAAAATTCAGTATTTAGATCGTTAAATCAAAAAGTATTAGATCGTCATTGAAGTCTGGACCTTTGTGGTTAACCCTGTACCCCGCATCTGTTTAAGGCGCATAAAGATTTTTAAACTTTTAATATTGAAATCCGTTAAACAAATGAAAAATTCTTAACGGTATTTCTAATTAAAAGAGAAAAAGTAACCGAAAAATCATTCCGCTGATTTTTGGTTGCCATGCACTGTGTCATATATACTTATACTTGGGTACTCCGGGGGTAATATAGGCTAAAAATTCAATTTTTTTTTTTAATTCGAAAATATTTTTTCAAGTTTTTAAAATTCCACGGGCAACGCACTTCAGCTATAACGAAAGAAAACATAAGATAGAATTTATTTCCCAGGAAGAAAAATGAATTTTCTTGGATCCAAACCATAATAAATTTACTACTGAATTTTCTTGGATCCAAACCAAACCATAATAAATTGCTCACTTTTTTGCTCAGGATGAATAGCTTAAGACAAGCAGTTGCTAAGGGACCTGTGTTCACCAAAAGCCGTTGGATGCCTAGAGCCATAAATATGAAGAAACTTGTAAATTTTTTTACTAAATAGGGAGGAGGGACTGAAAGCGCAATTTTAAGTAACCTTCCTTTACCATTCACAAGAGTACCTTCAAAACCTGCGACTGATCAAGGATGACTTTTCGTTTTTTAAAATTATTTACGACTTTTTACACACCATCTAAAAGTTAAATGTTATATACACTGAGTTCTGTGTTTTCAATGATCAATTCCAAGCTTTAAAGAGTACCGTTGTGAATTGAGGTTGACCCTCTTTAAATGAAAGGTCACTTGAACTTAACAAAATTTATGGCGAATATTTTTTCGCTAAAAATAAGAAATTTTCGCGAAGCGATATACTCTTTTCGCTGGAAACCCTATTCACGGCCAGAAAATAAATTGGCTTAGAAAACAAAATTATAAAAATTCTTTTAGTATTCATTTAAAAAACATCTTGTATGTAGACAACACTTTTAAAACAAAAGATATTAAAATTTGTATTAGTTTATGAATTTTGTATGCAATTCTCAATTTTATTTAAAAAGATTTGCAAGAAATTTTTTAAAAAATTATAGTTCTTCCTAATACGATTATTGACTCGTTAAATTGACAATTAAATTTTTCTAAAGTTCAAATTTCTATGCAAATGCAATGAACCCTAAAAATTGCACTTTGGCAAACGTTTTGAATAAATGTAAAAGTAAAATTTTTCCATTATTTGATTTAGGTTTGGAATCAAGAATTGGAGAATATTGCACAGCGCTATGCAAACCAATGTGAACCCTATGGATATGAATATGACACTCACATGTTCATGGAGGCGTCCACATCAGTTGTATCAGCTGTTTTCTTCGGAGAACCAGATCCAGAGTGCTTAGATGAAAATGCGGTAAAAGATAGGGATGGGTATAGATGATATAGTTTTAACAATTCATTGTTTGGTTTATTGTGAAAAAGTCATCAAAATAATTACAGTTATATTCATGAAAATTATTCCATTCAAATTTAGATTTTTGTATTTTCAGGCTAATAATAACATGAACTTGATACAAAAGAAATATGATCATAACATTCAGATGATTGAAAAAATTTTCCGAAAATTTGATCCGTAAGTTTTTAAGAGTTGTTTAATTTATCAATGTTGTTCTAATTTTGAAAAGGCAATTTTGAACAAAAATTTGAATTGCCTACAGATGATTATATATATATAAGTATATAAGTGAAACCCATAAAAATGTTGAATAATGAGACGAGTGTTAAACTCAAATTATGATTTGTTTTAGCACATAGGACATGAAATACATCAACTGTGCACTCTGCAGTGTCCACAGTGTTCACTCTAAACGGATCCATTTTTACCCAACTTCAAGCTACTAGTAAATTAAGTAAACATAATGTGATAAAAAATGTCATCTTCCCAATCCAAATTTTTATGGGTCTAACTGTATATCAATATATTTCATTTATATCTAAAAAATCTCTAAAAAAAATACAAAATTTGTTGGTGAACTTTTCAAGTATCGCGAATGTGTCCCCCGCTGTTGTACAAATGTTGTGGGCTGAGACTGCTGAGGTTGGCTGTGGGTTATCTTATTATAAAAATGTAAGTTTTCTTTTTATACAGGGTGTTCCGCTGAACATGATAATTGATAGGGGATTAAAACATGTTTTTAATCATAGATGACAAATTGTTATCAAAAGAAAGTTGCACGACTCATAAAGAAATTAGAAAGAAGACAGACAGGTGTTTTAAGGTTCTATAGTTAGGTCAGATACTTTATATGCACTCCAATGTACTAGAGATGTCGTCTTCATAGAAATGGACACTCAAAATCCTCATATATGAGATATGACGTAACTGATTGTTGACAGAAATGAAGTTACAACATTGCTGGCTGGTAAGATATACATTTATATTTCCTTCCAAACATGCAAATATGATTTTGTTCCAAAGACTCAATTCCTTTGTGAGGGAAAAATATTAAATTTATATTTCAGGGACAAATTTTATTTTTTTTGGGGGGGGGGCAATTTTCAGTTAGGGGAAATTCTTAAAACTTTGTTTTAGGTGAAAATTTTGTTTTGGGGGGCTTTTTTTAGTTTGGGCAAATTTGTGTATGAGAAATCTTAAATATTTATTTTGAGGGAAAATATTTTATTTAAGGGCAATTACAAAGTATATGAAGGGGCTTTCCTTAATCAAAGCGCAAAACTTCTTAATTTTGGAGAAATTACCTTAAACATTTGGGGATAAAAAGAAATTAAATTTATGTGCAAATTAAAAATATTTAGTGGCATTCTTAAAAAGGGGGCAAATTTAAGTCTTTTGGGGCTATTTGAATAAGAATGTATGAGTGTAATTTTAAAAATCCAATTTGGGGCAACCATGAGAGTTTATTTTCAATTTTTGTTCATATTGATTGATTGATAAACTTGAGTAACATTGTAATTCATATTTTTAACTTCAGGGCGGATTAGATTATAGTTTATGAAGCAGCAAACTATAAGGAAGCTGCTGCCACTAACTGTAGTTAGTGTATTCTAGGTTGAATTAGCCGCTAGAAAACCTGTTTTTGAAGCAGCAAACTACAAGGAAGCTGCTGCCACTAATTGTTTTGTATTCTAAGTTGGATTAGTTGCTAGAATACCAGTTTATGAAGCAGCTAACTATAAGAAAACCGCTACCACTAACTGCAGTGTATTCTAGGTTGAATTAGTTGCTAGAAACCCAGTTTATGAAGCAGCAAACTATAAGGAAGTAGCTGTAACTAACTGTAGTGTATTCTAGGGCGGATAAGTTGCTAGAAAACCTGTTTTTGAAGCAGCAAACGTTATGGAAGTTGCTGCTACTAACTGTAGTGTATTCTAGGGCGAATAAGTTGCTAGAAAATCTATTTTTGAAGCAGCAAACTAAAAGAAAGCTGCTGCCACTTAATGTAGTGTATTCTAGGTTGAATTACTTGCTAGAAACCCAGTTTATGAAGCAGCAAACTATAAGGAAGCTGCTGCTACTAACTGCAGTGTATTCTTGGGTGGACAAGTTGCTAGAAAATCTGTTTTTGAAGCAGCAAACTATAAGGAAGCTGCTGCTACTAACTGCAGTGTATTCTTGGGTGGACAAGTTGCTAGAAAATCTGTTTTTGAAGCAGCAAACTACAAGGAAGCTGCTGCCACTGATTGTAGTGCATTCTAGTTTGGATTATTTGCTAGAAACCCAGTTTTTGAAGCAGCAAACTTTAAGGAAGTTGCTGCTTCTAACTGCAGTGTATTCTAGGGCAGTTAAGTTGCTAGACCTGTTTTTAAAGCAGTAAACTATAAGGAAGCTGCTGCCCTTAACTTTAGTGTATTCTAGGTTGGATAAGTTGCTAGAAAACCTGTTTATGAAGCAGCAAAGAAGCTACTGCCACTAACTGCAGTGTACTATAGGGTGAATTAACTGCTGGAAAACCAGTTTATTAAGCAGCAAACTATAAGCAAGCTGCTGCTTCTAACTGCAGTGTATTCTAGGGCGGGTAAGTTGCTAGAAAACCTGTTTATGAAGCAGCAAACTATAAGGAAGCTGCTGCGTCTAACTGTAGTGTATTCTAGGGTGCATTAGCTGCTGGAAAACCTGTTTATGAAGCAGCAAACTATAAGGAAGCTGCTGCCTCTAACTGTAGTGTATTCTAGGGCGGATAAGTTGCTAGAAAACCTGTTTATGAAGCAGCAAACTATAAGGAAGCTGCAGCCTCTAACTGCAGTGTATTATAGGGTAAATTAACTGCTGGAAAACCTGTTTTTGAAGCAGCAAACTATAAGAAAGCTGTTGCCGCTAACTGCAGTGTATTCTAGGGTGGAAAAGCTGATGGAAAACCTGTTTATGAAGCAGCAAACTATAAGGAAGCTGCTGCCTCTAACTGTAGTGTATTATAGGGCGGAAAAGTTGCTTGAAAACCTGTTTATGAAGCAGCAAACTATAAGGAAGCTGCTGCCTCTAACTGTAGTGTATTATAGGGTGGATAAGCTGCTGGAAAACCTGTTTTTGAAACAGTAAAGTATAAGGAAGCTGCTGCTACTAACTGTAGTGTATTATAGGGTGGATAAGCTGCTGGAAAACCTGTTTTTGAAACAGCAAAGTATAAGGAAGCTGCTGCTACTAACTGTAGTGTATTATAGGGTGGATAAGCTGATGGAAAACCTGTTTTTGAAAGAGCAAAGTATAAGGAAGCTGCTGCTACTAACTGTGGTGTATTATAGGGTGGATTAGTTGATGGAAAACCTGTTTTTGAAACAGCAAAGTATAAGGAAGCTGCTGTCACTAACTGTTCTGCTGGATAAGTTCCTGGTGCTACTGGAGGGAAAGACGAAGGACTTTGTGTTAAAAAGAATAATTAAATATTCAATTATTTTAAAAAGAAAAGATGACGTTTGTCACAGAATCTTTTTGCACAGTCTTTGTAGATAATATATATTGGCTCCATGTAAACCATTTTTTTCACATTTTCCCAAAATCAAAAAAAACTGCATAGGGCCTTTTTTTATAAAATGAATATCTTTCTAGAAATTACATAATCCTGATAAAAGTATTAGATTTAAAAATTGTCTTTAAACTTGAAATGCTATACATTTATATTTCCTTCCAAACATGCAAATATGTATTATATATATATTATATTATATATATATATATAAATATATATATATATATATATATATATACATGCAAATATGTATTTGATATACAAGCCTGTTTTTTATACAAATTGTGAAAAATCTTAGATTTTAATTTGAACTATTCGAAAATGTTATATATTTTCACTATTTAAAATCAATTTGAATACATATTGTGTAAAATCTTACATTTTATTTTTAACTATTCGAATATGTTATATAACTACACTATTTTAAATCAATTTGAATACATATTGTGTGAAATCTTGCATTTTAATTTAAACTATTCAAAAATGTCATTTTAAATCAATTTATACCCTACAGTGTGAAAAATGTCTTTAAAAATAATGATATTCTATCTTTAATGATTTAACTGGGAATCTATAAGAGATCTGTAAAGAGACTGTTTCCTAATTTTGTCCTGTTTCTCCGCCTCTAATTCTGCAGCAAGATTCTGAACAAGATAAAATTATTTTAAAACCGTTAGGATGATTTCAAATAACTCTCCATTAAAAAAAAAAGAGTGACAAGTCCGATTCACACCAAACTTTGTTTTTTCTTTCTATAAATCGATGATAAATTTATGTAGCAGAAACAAGCGGAAAATCAACAAAATCAACAAAATCAACACTCGAAAGAAATGGGGGGTATTGGGTACCTTTGTGAATCTAGCATGCAACTCTTTACTTAGGAAAGGGTCACATTTGCATTTCACAATCTATCTGTTGATTATGAAAACAAGAAACTTAGGAATAAGCTGAAAAAGAGGAAAATGGCGTCATTTGATATTATATAAATATATAAAGTTTTGTGTTTCAGTTTGCTTAAAATACTATTAGCAACTTTCCTATTATTAAAGGAATTGAGTCTTTGCCACAAACTCTGAATTTATAATCCCTATATCTTTGGAACCCAATGTCGTAAATCTTTGATATTTCAAACTTATATTTTTGATCCAACATAATTCATAGTTTGAAATATTTAAGGTCTACGACACTGGAATCCAAAGATATAGGATTTAGAAAAGCAGAGTTTGTGGCAAAGACTCAATTCCTTTAGCTTTTTCTGTTGCTCTAAAAGTCGCTAATTTATTTGTTCTCAAACTTTAACGGATTTTTTGTTTAAATTGGTAAATACGTCGACTGGGTCATGTGAACTCCTCTAATAATTTGGGCCCAATCGGTTCAGCCGTTTTGATGTTCTTTTGGATACAAATATGCAAATTATATAGATTATAACTGGTATACCTTCTCCCAAATATGCAAATTATATAGATTATAACTGGTATACCTTCTCCCAAATATGAAAATTATATAGATTATAACTGGTATACCTTCTCCCAAATATGCAAATTATATAGATTATAACAGGTATACCTTCTCCCAAATAAGTCGATCCTGTACCTCTATTCTCTTTTGTTCCAATTCCCTAGTTCTAAAACAAATTTGCCAATGTTCAGAATGGACAAGAAACACATGTCTGAACCCTGATTGAATCAAGCGCTAATAGACTTGGCATACAGAAGTGTATTTGCATATGTAACTACATGAAATACACTTAATTATTGCTTTAAAGTTTTCTTCATATTTCGGGGTTTCCCGTTTATCCCTTTACTTTAAACGACAAAAATTTGGTTCGCTAGTTGTCTCTGCTCTCAATATTTCGGGATTTCACTTTTGCATAGTATTTTCAAACGTCCAGTAACCTCTGATCCAATCAGAGTTCACTAACGTGCTTTACAGTGATCAAGACCAATGAAATAGCAAAGGAGGCAAGATCTATCTATCTGTCTGCCTAGTAAATTCTTAAAATTCAATTAGAGATCTTTATGTAAATTAGCGGCTAAGACTAATGGATGTCAATTTACTCATATCCAAACTATGGTGTGGAAGAGAAACCTAGAGGCCAAAAAATCGTTCGTAAAAGTTTATCATATATAAAAAATTGTTAAAATAACAACAATCTATATACGCATAAAAACCTACCTTTGCAATTGTTTGTGTTGAATCTGGTCCCTGAGAAATGACGAGGTGGCCAAGTTGACCTGTTTCCTAGTTTTCTCCAAGGTCTCCTGGGAGTAGCCTAGGGTTTCCATTCGCAATACTTTTGCGCAATTTTTGCGAAAGAAAGCGGAAATTTTTGCTTTTGTTGCGCTTCATTTTTGCGCGAAGAAATAGCACTTTGCACAAACTTCATTTCGCTTTTGCGTTATTCTGTTTTGCGGAATTTTGCGCAACTTATTCTCAGTAATAGGTTGAATAAAGGTATAAACTGTATTAATTATTTATCTATGAGATTGCACTCTTCCCATATAATTGCAATGCTTAAAAAAAATGATTACTTGCCTAAAACTCTATTTTGCAGCCTGGTGCATGATGGCACACTGCTTAAGATGTGAACGATCTCACATAAAAGTCGAGCAGTATTTTGCCAATTACTCATTTTAAACTAAGATAGAAACAGACGCGTAACATTTTTTAAATGTGTATGTCCAGGCCTACAAAAAAAGTATCAGTGAGTTGGCGAGGTAAAACCAAAGGCCAAGGCGTTGCGACACTTCAAATTCGAGACTGTATAAAAATTTGATGACTAAGTTTCAGTGTTGTCTTTATCTCAGTGGGAATAGCCCTTTGTATTTCAATTATATGCATTCGACCAGATATTTGATATATCACCACACAACGATCTGTAAAAACTATTAAAATTAAATTTTCAAAGTAATTTCTGCTTTATTTATTTTGTCCCTCAATTTGAAGATATTGTAACTAAATGTAATCAATTCAGAGTAGCATATCATAATTTATTTGTATGTACATTTTTAAATAATTGTTTGATTCTGAACTGAAACTGTTAATTTTGGTCCATTTGCAATAAAGTGTTTTGCGTTAAAATTTACGTTTTGCTCATAATTCCGGTTTTGCGCAAATTACGCAAAAACACCTGCTCATAAATGCGCAAAACTTATTGTGCTGCTTTATGCGCAAAAGTTCGCAAAAAAAATATTTGCGTGAAAATTAAGCAAATTTTGCGCAAAAAAATATGTTCATTTCGTGGAACCTCTACCTGGGAACTGTCCCGTGCCTGATCAGATCTCCACTTAATTATCAAAATTGATAAAAACGAGATATATTTCCATACTAAATGGAGTGCCCGGCGTTGCCCCGTTCCTATTTAATCTCGCCGTTTATCCACTCTTTATCATAATTTTAGCTAAAGTGCCCGGCGTTGCCTGTGCACTTTTTTAATTCGAGGGGAAACATTACTGAAAGTTGAAACTCTATAAGTCAATTTTTATCTGATTCGGAATAATTTTATTGCATAAAAAAGTAGGAAAGGACATTTTATGTCTTTCTACGACTATGAATGCGAACAGAGTTTTTTTACAACAAAAAAAAGTAAAATTCTAATTAATGTTGATGAGTTTAACCTGCTGATCAAGAAAGTAGAAGTTTGTTCTGTTTTCTTCTTGGAAATGTTTAGCTCTGATACCATCTATCTCTTCTCTGATAGAAATGATTAAAAATACATTAGAAGTTTCTAAATCATATTCTTTTAGAGACCCCGATCTTTTCCTCCGAGACTAACATGCTTATTCAGAGACTCTTAGCTTACCATCGAAGACCTATTTTTTCTTTAGAGACTCCAAGCTTTCCATCGGAGACCGTTGTTACATTTGAGACTATAAGCTTTCCAGTTTTTTAATCGGAGATTCTAATTTCTTCATCGAATACACCCATGTTTCATCGGAGACCCTAAGCTTTCCATCGGAGACCGCTGTTACATTTGAGACTATAAGCTTTCCATCGGAGACCGCTGTTACATTTGAGACTATAAGCTTTCCAGTTTTTTAATCGGAGATTCTAATTTCTTCATCGAATACACCCATGTTTCATCGCTTTTCATCATAGACTCTCATTTTTATCGGAGACTAACATGTATCTCCTCCAGAAGCCATTTCTGAGATAACCTGGACATTATATCACAAAAATGCATGGTCCAAAAATAAAATTGTAAAATGAAAACGTTTCTATTCCTAAAGCAAGCAATTTCTTCCTTTCTCCTCATCTCTTCTTCTCTTAAAAAATCTTTTTTCAGTTTTTCCAGTTCTCTCAGATTTTTTTGTGATTCCTTTCCTAAAATTAACAGAAACTTAACATAAATATGTTATCTAGAATGTAAAAGAAATAGTTACTCAGGAAAAATGGTTACCAAGAAAAATGGTAGTTACACATGAAAATTGTTACCTAAAAAGCATGGTAGTTACACAGGAAACATGATAACCCAGGAAACACGGTTACCCAGGAAACATGGTTATCAAAGAAACATGGTTATCTGGCAAACATGGTTATCCAGGAAACATGGAGATCCAGGAAACATGGATATCCAGGAAACATGGATATCCAGGAAACAACGTTACCCAGGAAACACGGTTATCCAGGAAACATGGATATCCAGGAAACATGGTTACACAGGAAACATGGTTACCCAGGAAACATAGCTACCCAGGAAACATGGTTATCCAGGAAACATGGTTACCCAGGAAACATGGTTACACAGGAAACATGGTTACAGGAAACACGGTTACCCAGGAACCATGGTTATGCAAGAAACAGGGTCACCCAGGAAACATGGTTACCCAGGAAACATGGTTACACAGGAAACATGGTTACACAGGAAACATGGTATCCAGGAAACACGGTTACCCAGGAACCATGGTTATGCAAGAAACAGGGTCACCCAGGAAACATGGTCAACCAGAAAACATAGTTAGAAAGGAAACATGGCTACCCAGGACACATGACTACCCAGGAAACATGACTACCCATTGAAACATGGTTACCCAGGAAACATACCTTGAGCCTGATGCAAATTCTGCATGAACATTTGTTCATGCTTTTTAGTCTCCATTTGATGTTGGAACTTCAACTCTTAACAAGTTTATGTAAATCTCTTGTTATAACCAAACATATATTCATTTTGAAAAATGTTAAATTCAAATTATGGACATATTTCATTTTAGAGGTTTTTTAAAAAAAGATAAAAATGTGTGTATTGATGAAGATTAGTGTTAAAAGGAAATATTCAAACTATTTTATGAATTATCTTTTATAGGTTGATTATATTGTACCTAGCTCTTTTCTCTTTTCTTCTTCTATCTTCTCTAGTTCTACCTCCTCTGCCTTAAATATTTCAAGTTTTTGCAAAAAATACCTTAATCATTGCAACCTGATGTCATTTTTCAATCTCTGAATTTTGTGAGGTCAACTAGTCTGAGTTTGAAATCTGAAAGGTTTACACCATCGGGGTGCAAAGAACCTGGGTTTTAAAAATTATAATTGGCGGAAAAGAACTCGGTCCCTTTATTATAACCAATAAACCCAGAAAACAACTTTTTTTATCGCCCTTCGTGGTCACATTATTTCCCTTGTTCATAGAAATTTCCGTCATCAAACAAAAAAAACCGTTAAGTTAAAAAGAAATGAATCCAACCACGTTCATTGTAGATGGAAATATATTTTCAAGAATTGTCGCAGAAAATAAAAAATTTGAGTTGATTCTTTAAAAACCGCGTTGGACAAAAAATGTTCGGGATTTTCTAGAAATAGTCAGCTGGGTAGGGTACACACTGTACGCTAGTGTACACTCCAGTTTTTCGGCAATTTAAACATCAATAGAGATAAACAAACAGTTCTCTTGCCGTCGATGATACAAAGTTTTAAAGAGTACCAATGGAGGGTAACTACTTGAATTATGCTTACTCCAGTCCCTTTAACGAACGAACAATTTCTGTAGGCTGTCATGGGTCGGGTTTCCAATCGTAATTTTCGTACGAAAATCGTGCAATAGTTGGGCAAAGGGTTTTCCCTTATCGAGTAAAAAAACACATGTAAATAAATATGCAAACCTTGAATTTGTTAAAGTCTTTCTTAGCTTGAGTATAAAACTGTACCCCTGCTGTCAAATCACTTTGAAAATGTAAAATATGAGATATTATTATTTTATTAAATTATTATTCTATATTTTGATATAATTAGAAGCCAATATTGTCAAAAAAAAACGATCGATTATGATGAATTTCTAATTTTTTTTTTTTAAATTCGTTTAAATATCGATCTATAAAACCAATTTTGTCTAACTATGATCAATCAAAAGCACAAAAAAATGCAGACTAAGTTTATTTTGAGATTGATATTATATAAATAATTTGTTGTAAAACTAATGCCGCCGACTATTTTGAGAATATCACTGTTTTATCTATTTTGAAATATAGGATGTCCCACGAAACATGACAGTTGGTAAATAGTTTAAAATGTCTTCTTCCATAATTTTTTAAGTTGTTTTACGCCAAAGACAATAATAACAATATTATATAGGAGTCATATTAAAGTAAAATTTAAGTTCAAAGTAAAATATATTAGAGCAAAAGATTTTTTAAAGAGAATAAACTGCAAGCAGCCTTTAATATTTAATACAGTGTATGGAAGACGACATTCAAAACTATTTACCAACTTTCATGTTTCGTGGGAAACCCTGTAGGTACAGTTAAAATCCCTTAAAGTTCTCATTTCACAATTTCTCAATTTTCCTAATTTTTTTATTTTTGGATTCTTTCCGCTTCCGTTCCTCATCTTCCGAAGCCATCCTAGCATTTAATTTCAAAAATATAAGAAAATTATAATAAAAACGAATACCCCAGCCCTGGACCTATTCACCCCTGCTTTTAAACACATTTTCAAAATCTATCCTTAAAATGTTAACCTTTTTTATTTACTTTTTTGCTTTATCGCTGAAACTAACCATTATCCTATTTTTTACCCCCTTCATAAAGTTGTTTAAAATACAAACCGTTTTACTTGATCTTTCTCGACTTTTTTTCTTTCATTTTCTGCTAGAATGGATTCGGCAAATCTAAACAATAAATTTGGTCAAAAATGTTCGTGGAACTTTCAGTTAAAATATTACTGATTTAATTGTTATTGAGAGTGAAGGAGACTTAAATGTTGTATTTTTTTTGTGCAATTTTTTCATCTTTCCTTTAATATTTTACATATTTGCACACAAATATTTTACATATTTGCACACAAATATTTTACATATTTGCACACAAATATTTTACATATTTGCACACAAATATTTGCGCGCAATTTTCCAACTTTATGCGCTTGCCTGCATAAAATTCGCGTAAAACTCTTCTCGATTCTCAATCTTAAGATAGCGATATTTGACTGAGTTGCAAAGAATAAAACTTACTCCTTGTTCTCCCTGAGTATCCTGTAGTTCTCCTCCTCCTTATCCTTCCCCTCCTCCCTCTTCTTCAGTTTCAGCTGGAAACCCCAGTCCTCAACCAATCCCTAAGCAACAACAATTACAATGCGGCTTATTACACTGTGAAATAGTCAAATGAACTTGATACCAAGCAAGTGTACCCAATTCCTTTAAAAATAAGTTTTTTAAACGATGTGGTAAAACTATTGCATTAGAACAACATCAAATTCACATATGATTGCTTATCGTCTTCCTATTCCATACAGTGGTAGCTGAAGGATGTATATTAAAGCTTAAAATAGAACAACAACCCCCCATAGGAATACGGTTCCTCGTTGTTAAATAATAGAATTTATGAAAAGTATTATCAAATCTGAAAAACCTTTTCTAACTTATCAATTCTAACTCTTCTTTCTTCTTCTGTTTCTTCTCTTTTCCTGAGTAGTTCTTCTGCTCTTTTTGCCTCCTCTTCATTCCGAGCAGATCTGAACAAAAATGGTTGACTTAAATAGACTGAAGACGTAATTTCAAGTGTTGAGTTCAGACTGATACGTAAGTCAACACAGCGCACACTTAAACTGTCAGCTGACTACAAGCGGGTTTCGGTAAGTTTACACACACAAATCTCCGTACTCGACGAACATGCAAAGGTTTTAAGGTGTCATTTTTATTTTTAGATTTATAATATTTGTTTTTAAAAGTTTATAAATTTACTTGATTCTCTCCACCTCTCTCTTTACAGACTCCCATGCTTCATCTCCTACAAGCCATGTGCGGGGTTTAGGGGGCGTCACTGGTCTTGGAGCTAGATAAAATAATATCAAAGGGACTAGTGGCGTAATTTCAAGTGACCCTCCATTTACAAAGGAGCATGCCCAATTCACAATGGTACCCTTTAAACCTTTGTCAACTCGTCAACAATTACAAACCTTTCTGAAGATAAACAATAATAAAGAAGTTCTCCTTGATCCGTCAAGGGATTTATAGTGTACGTGAATCAGTGATGTCACTCTACAAGTGGAACTTCACTTGAAATTTCAACTATTTGGTGGTCTCCAGTGGAGTCAAAATCTTACTACGAACTTCCGTGACTTGACTAATTATCTATTTTTGTGTATCATCCATACGGCAGGAGGCTGTGTTTAAATAATTTTTAAAAGATGATAAAGAAAAATATCTTTTCCATGATTCTTACAAGTTTCTCTTACCAGTAAAACTTAATGAAAAATAACATGCATTCTAACTTTACAATTATTCTATTGGGGACAAACTTATACCTTGCTTAAATTTGTTTAACTTTGAATATTTCTAACTTTGACTATTACAGGGTGTCCCAAAAAACATGGGAATTCAGTGACGAATTCGATATCGTCTTTTTAAATAATTCTTTGATTTAGTGTAGTGATACCAACTGAGAAAGCTTTAATTTGTAAGAGTTTCGTCTGCTATGTTTACATTTTGTTTGTTTATGTTTTGACTGCATACGGCTGTACTTTGTAAAACAAGAAAATTGCACTAAACAAACAGAGAAAACTTGTCCGTCTTCACTGTTCATCTTGCAGAGACATTATAGACACATCTTTACAGTCTTTTACCCTTTTCATAAAATAAACTCTAGCAGACATAATAATATTATGGCTTTTGAAATTAGGTATTACAATGCTAATTCATAGCAAAGACGATATACAATTCGTCACTGAATTCCCATGTTTTTTGGGACACCCTGTAGATGATTTATAGTTTTAAATATCAGTGTTCATTTTCTCAGTCTAAGGGGTTTCAGAGTTATGATCGGTATTCAATGTGAGGAATTTCCCCTGGAATATCCTTTATCAATCTAGCAAAAGTGAAGATGATAAATTTTATATTTTTTAATCTTCAATCATGTGTTTACCTAGGGTACAGGGTACTCTCTCCTTCCCGCGATATATATCACCTAAAAATATCAAATATATTGGAACTCAACATTTTTAAATATTTCAAATTCATTTTTAATAAATACTGGGTAGGGTTTCACTCAAATTCCGGTTTACGGTATACTACGGAAATTATCCGGATTTTTTTTCATTTGAATGAAACGGAATCTAAAGGGTTTTTTCCAGTTTTCACTTCGTTAACAGGAAAAAGTTCCATGGTTTCCATTACGTGAACCGGCAAATTTCAAGTTTTGTCTGGTATCCTGGAATTCCACCTTCTCCTCCTAATACTGACACTTTAACAGTGATTTATGAAACTTCTTCGATTAGTTTGATGTTTTAAAAATCAAATGTGCCTAATGCCTTGAATATATAAATATGCAGTAAAAAGTACATGTTTAATTTTAAGACAACGAAATATTTTCTGTGCACAGCTGTAGAGAACCCTACAGATAAATACTGTACAACTTGTTTTAGTTGCTAAAAAGTTGGTCCGGTACTAAGTTTTTATTAATCTGTGTACCTGTAGAATATAAGGTGTTCTTAACTTGTGAACTATCTACCCCTGTTCCTATTCTACTTCTCGTGCTCAATAACTCTAGGTGACCCCTGTATAAAAAATGTTATTAAAAAATAAGATATTTTCTTTGAAGAATAAAGGTTTGTGGCTCATGTGGCTCTGGTTTCTTTCAAAGTTTGATCATTGCTTTGATCGACGCTTTAAACTTTGTTTAATTAAGTAAAATTATAATAACCTTGTTTTAAAAGTGAAAGCAGGAATGATAAGTATGAATTACGAAATAAAAAAATACGATATTTTCTTCAGCTTTGTTTAGATTCGGATTTATAGAGTACCGTAGTGAATCGAGCACTGTAACTTTTTAAAGGGGTTGATAGCGTAATTTCAATATGTCAATGGCAGATTCACAACGGTACCATTAGAAGCTTCGTCTAATCTGTTTTACCTGTGTTGATTTTCTGTCGCAAGCCAGGATTTACAATCTCTAAAATGTGATTATGCAGCTTTTTTATTCCAATTTATGAAGGAAAAACGTGGAAATTTTTCAATAAATAAGCATGCTTTTCAAATACAAAGGAGAGGTTAAAAAAAAATTTAATTTCATATCATTTTTGTGAGTACACAGTGATCCAAATGTTACAAGCTTTCATACAAAAACAAATTGTGTTATTTAATTTCTAAAAGACTAAAACTGAAAACAATTTCTTTATGAGATCAACGGCATTGCGACACTTTAAAGCCGACCCAGTCTTCTAAATTTGTGAAATTTTTTATAGTTGTCTGGCTATATGTACATATGTATATTCAGACAACACATGTTCATATGTAAATTCAGACAACATATGTACATAAGTACGTATAAACTAGTTGGAGGAGTACCCGACGTTGCCTGTGGAATTTTAAAAAACTAATTTTAAAGAATTAAATCGATTTTGTGAAGAAAAAAAAACTAAATTTTAGCCTATGGTACCCCTCGGATACCCATGGGGTTCTTCATAAAATTTCAACCCATTCGATCCAGCCTTTTGGCCAGCTATAGCTAATAAAAATATATATTAATATTAATTTATATTTTTATGAACGAAGAGCTTTATGTAGATAACCTGTGGTGTGAGTGCGGTGGATTTACGAAACTATTTAAAAACATGTTTTTGCTCGTCTAAAATATAAATTAATAATATGGAAGATATGGTCAACAACGCACAAGAACAACAACAACAACGGCGTTTCTGGCGTCAAACCTTATAAAAATCCAACGTATGGACCCGCTACAACATGGCGTATTTTCCGGGAGAACATTTTTTATATTTTTGAAAAATTAAATTATCAGTGTAAAGTAAATATAATTTTCATAAAATCCTTTTATTTAAATGGTAAAACGAAATTTTATGAAATCATATTAGCATTACTGGAGAACTTTTTTTTATACTTTTAATAATTTTTTCCAAACCTAAAATGTACGTATTAAACTATTTTGCTCCTTTAATGTCTAGGTTATGTTAAAAAAAAAATAGAAATTATGATAATGATAATGATAAGGTACAATATTTTACAAAGACGTTTAATTTTTCAAAAATATAAAAAAATGTTCTCCCGGAAAATACGCCATGATGCTATACGTAGCGGGTCCATACGTTGGATTTCTATAAGGTTTGACGCCACAAGTTCACAACAACGAAATCCGATCGTTGAGTTAGAAATATCGATTATGAGTGAAATTGTGGTTCTGCTTTACAACTTTTACATACATCTAATAAAATCAGTTTCCGATAATAGAATTACAGCACGGAATGTTTGACAATTAAATTAGTTTGATAAATTTCATAAATCTAGATCTTAGATCTCAATTGAAAACAAAGCTTCTTTATGCAAGCATTGCTCTTATATAAATTGGAGCAGTTTTTTTTTCTGTGAAGGATTTTTTCTACACTTTTCATCGTAGTGAAAGACTTGGAATTCACGTCAGGTTAACATGTCTATAACCTACCCAACCCAACAGTATAGAAACAATTCAAAGCCATATAATGCAAGTTTGTTCAATTCAGCCATAGATTGATAATCATACAGATCTACTTCATTGAGTTTAAAAGTCAGTCGTGGGACCAGATTTCATGAACAGGTGAAGAAGTTAAACCATTTAGATTAAATTGAACCACTCCCTCTTGTTGAACCATGAAACTTTTAAATAATTTCAAATAATTTTGTTTTCTATATTATGCAAAATACTGAAAATAATAAAGATGTATATATACAAAATCTGTTAATTTATTTACCAATGAATTCAGCTGTATCATCGTAACTATGAGAAGTGGGGGAAATGTATACGAGAATTAAACAGCAAGGGAATATTGAAGGAGGGGAATATTGAAAGGGGGGAAATAAATGTTTGCGTCATCAGTGTCCTGAGGTCAAATTTTATTTTTATTCACGGCATTGATCCGACATGGACTGTATACTATATGCATTCAGTCGTACTGTCGAGTCTGGACTACCCGGAGTAGAGCTGACCCAGCACATATTATATAACAAACGTAGCCTGTCAAGATCACAGTGGCGGGAATTAGTTAAACCAGATATTGCTGGTTGAACTACTTTTGGTCACATGCAGAGTAGTAATTAAAGTATCTCTACCTATTTCAATTTCATCTCGATGTTAATTATTTCCATTCTCGTTTTACTCATTTCTAGTTTCAGTAACTTTTTCTAGTTTCAGCAACTATTTCTAGTTTCAGTAACTATTTCTAGTTTAAGTAACTATTTCTAGTTTCAGTAACCTTTTCTAGTTTCAGTAACTNGTAGAGTGTAGAGTGTAGAGTGTAGAGTGTAGAGTGTAGAATGTAGAGTGTAGAGTGTAGAGTGTAGAGTGTAGAGTGTAGAGTGTAGAGTATGCTATCTATAGCATTTTAATTAAACCCCGTAAATACAATTCAAAGTAAAGTTTGTAAAGTATATGAGTGCAAAGTGTATAAGTGTAAAGTGTATGAGTGTAAAGTGTATAAGTGAAAAGTGTATGAGTGTAAAGTGTATGAATGTAAAGTGTATGAGTGTAAAGTGTATGAGTGTAAAGTGTATGAGTGTAAAGTTTATAAGTGTAAAATGTATGAGCGTAAAGTGTATGAGTGTAAAGTGTATGAGTGTAAAGTGTCTAAGTGTAAAGTTTATAAGTGTAAAGTACATGAGTGTAAAGTTTATAAGTGTAAAGTGTATGAGTGTAAAGTTTAGACGTATCTTACAAGTTTTAACAACTTTTTCATTATTTGCACCCAAAGTTGTGAACGCAGGGTAAACTTTACCAAAACTTGATCTTAAACTTTTGAGAACATGTAAAATAAAACATTTGTAAAACAACAATTTTAATTAACCACCAAAACAAACACGGCATTTTAAGGGCAGATTAGATAAACGGTTGAAGGGAAAATTACTGCATTTTTTGAAGTCTTGTGAAAACTTTGCACTAACTTGCTCAATTTGAAAAGTTCTCTCATCTCTAGATTTGCCTCCACTCATATCCACACACTCGGGATCCTCGCTCGGATAGATCGTCTTCCTTTGGAACTTCAACATTTTAGAACATTTGTCTTAGCATTGAGAATTTTTTTTCACCGTTTTTCTCTAAATTGATGGTACGATGCAGGGATATCCAAAATGGATGAGACTGAAAAGACGACCTACAAATAGGACGATCTGTAGTTTTTTCCTATTTTATCTTTTTCAACTTGAAAATTGTGAGCTCATCGCATTTAATTTAATTTAATTTAAAGGGACTGTAAGCGTAATGTCAAGTGATCCCCCGTGCAAAGATGGCAATGCCCGATTCACAACAATGCCCTTATTGCCTAATAAAGCTTTAAATTTAAATTAATGTTTATAATTTTGAAAATTGATTTATTTCAATCGTGGTTTCTCTTCAAAAGTTACTTGCGCATTTCTACTGCAGAAAAACATATAAGAATTATCAGAAATAAACACTTTTTTAATAAAAATGTCTACCACATCATTACTCAGATAAAGGTTTCATGGGTACCATTGTTAATAGGGAATTGTCATAAAGGTTAACTTGAAATCACGCTAACAGTCACTTTAAAAGTAGTATATCATCATACAACGATATTTTTCTAACAGGTAACAGATTCACATCTTTTAATTTTACATATATATGTTTACTTTAAACCATTCTTTGTTCTGTTTCCAGTTTTAAAAGATGCAATTCTCGTTATTTTCCAATCCTGTTATTTAAAAATATTTTGGAAACTGTTTAAGGATGTATCGAGTTAAACTGAATCTCTAATCTCTAAGGCGGCATCATAGGATATTTTGTTAATCTCTCCTTTAACAAAACTTCAAATTTTAAAAAGACGACAATTACAAATCACGTTAAACTAAAGTAAATTTCACGTAAGTTAGTAATTTTATATGTTTTCTATCATAACTCCTCTTATTGAATAGCTATTGAGAAGAACAAAAGTTTTTAATTTCTAATATATATGACAGGATTAGGGTTTTGCAAAAAAAAAATCGAAAAAATGCAAAAGTTTTAGATCGCATTTCGCAAACAATTTCGCGAAATCACGCATTTTATTTTCGCGAAAAATAATCCGCGAAAACCATAATGCATAATATAATGCAACAATTAATTAAGCAAAATAACTTGTGGAATTCTCTGCTCTGATAGCTCAACATTGAAAGTTTTATAATATAATATTCATATTTTATCTTTCTTAACTTTAAATTTTAGTAAATGTTTGATGAAGAGAATTTGAATTCTCTATCTTTCTGAGTTTCTGTCCGTCTACGTACGTTCACCCAAATCCAGCTAGCCATGACAAGAGTGAATCTTTAAAATGGACCGTTTTTTCGCAAAATTTCCGTTTTTTCAGCATTCTTTTCGCAAAATTTTCGTATTATTTTTTTCGCAAAGTTTTCGCATTTCATGTATCGTTAAAATTTCGCATTTTTTGTCGAAATAGTAAGAAGCGAAATTTCTCGAAAATTTTCGCATTTTTCGCGAGCGAACGAAATGCCAAAAAAATGCGAAATTTTCGGCGTATTTTTTTTCGCGAAACGATTTTCAATTTTCGTTGGAAACATTAGATCGGATAAATTTGATTTTCTGATACTTGTGCATAAAATCATACTAGAAGAGCGACGAGGTAACAAATTTGTACTAGTAATGTCGCATAATTTTAACATCTGCTGCTGTCTAGTTTGCATTTTAAAAATTCATTGTGTCGAAATATTATGTCGAAAGCCTAGAATATGATAAGTATTATATATGGGTAAATAAGTTTTAAAATATTGTATTTTTTTCTACTTTTATAGTAAAGTATCTTTAATCTTATATTATGCATAGTGCAGTAAGTAGCGTAGAGATGCATTTATTTTAGTGCATTTTTGTGCATTAGATGACTTTATGCATTCTTGACATCAAGCAAGTATACGTTTTTGAGGTCTGTTTTAAAACATTAAAATCTTAATATTTGGAGTGGCTCATTTTAGTGACTCAGAAAGAATCTAAGATGTAACTACATTCAATTTTAAAATTGTTTTATAAGTTTGCTTTTATTGAATTATGCAAAATTTTTACCGAGACTAAAGCTTAACAGATTTTAACCAAAGCGGGTTTTCAAACGGTTTGTATCATCGTTTTGATAAATCTGTTTATATTAAACACTAAAAACTCTTAAAATTCGTTTTTTCTATTTATGCTTAACTGTCTTGTGTATCATACGGGACAATATTTCTTTTGGCCGGGATTTTTACTTTTTTCGTTTGATTAAGGTTTAAATTCAAGATTTCAATCACGAACGTATAAGTAAGTGAATAAAAATCTTGAATTTAAACCGAAAACATACAAAAAAGGAAAAATCACAACAAATAAATAATTTCTCAAATCAAATGATAACACAAGACAGAGAAGGAGAGAGAGAGAGAGAAGGAGAACTAAGAAAAGTTTGAATTAGAAAAGTTTGAAACGTAGCAAAGTATGAAAGTTTAGATCAACTTTGCCAAACTTTTAAACTCATACTGCAGGAGTAGAAAATAGTTTTATACTTTTCATCTAAACCAAGACAGCTGTATATCGCAGAAACATGTTCGTTGGAGACCCCAGATATTTACTGAGACCCCCAATCTGTTAATTTTAGACCCCAACATTTCATCGGAGACAACAGATTTTCA